TGCTGGGAAGGATGTTCGTTTGAAACAGGTGTCTTTTGACACTTTCTGGGCTAGATATGAAGTTTCATGTTTGCATCTTTTGGTTGGTGAGTCATGATGATTTAATCATATGGCCATGAAGTTCAATAGGGAGTAAACTGAAACGTGGTTGGTGGACACAAATGCCCACCTGACTGGTGTCCAACAAAGTGGCCCCCATTGTGAATGAACCCCATATGGCCCATATCACAATTCGCTGCCGAGTTCTGGACTTCCATCTTTTTGGGAAGACCATTACAGTGGTCAACAAGAAGTTTGGACTTGACCAATCCGCTTGGGAAGTGAATATGTGTCACGTGTCCTATGACTTTTCGGGGTATCCCCGGGGTCATTCTTTGCCAGGCTGGCGAGGGCCTATGTGATCCGCTCACCCTGACTCAGCTGCCTGGCGAGTGTAGCCAATGAGCAGCGAACACCAGTGATTTGGGAAAGCCAAGCATTCAAACCACCATTAAAACATTGGGGGCTACTAGAACCACCATGATTCACCTAAGGAATTTCATCATCTAAATTGGGGCAGTCACCAAGAGGACAATGACTTTACTGGTGATTGGTCTAAGAACCCATCATGCATTGCTGCAATGCTAAGCCTGGTCAAGATTCAAACTCAGGTTTGTATTGCCTTCCTGCCGAGGCTGCTAGTGGCTTTGACCAGGGCCAACAGATTGGCCAACTGTCCGCTCCTCAGCGCACGGTGTCAAAGCTCCAAGCCACTTGACCTGCTCCATAGAGCTAAAGCCATGCATTTCTTGGTTCCTTATTTTCATTTGGTTTGCTGCAAGGTGGGCAAGATCTAACGCATTGGGATTGCGCTTCGCGGTCACACACTGGGCTTTCACAGGTAGTTGCGGTTGAAGCTCAGAAGCTCTGAATGTTGTTTTGATTCGTGCTGATGACGCTTGTGCACGGCGCGCGCGCATCTGCGTGGGCTGATGTCCTGTTGTGTGCATAATTGGTAGCAGAACTGCTTCGTGCCCCCAAATCCAAATCATCCATAATATTTACTACTTGCTATGACAGTAAAGGGCTACTCTGGGTGCGAAATAGCCATAGTTTTTTCTTGTCCAACAAGAAATCAGCACAGGTTGGGTATTCCCTGAACCTCTATTTGACACCTACGTGTTCCTGGACTGAACATGCCAGAAAACGAGTCACGGGAATTGCTGTGGTGCTTTGATTTCCCACATTCAGTTGCACGCTATAAGTTCAATGTTTAGTGTGTTCCTTCAACATGGAGTCAATCCAAACAAGGGTTCCCTTCTTCGACCTTTCGCGTCTCTGAGCAACTGGGTTTCCGCCCGCTTTCAGCAAGCTTCGCCATAATCATCGGCAGGTCGTGTTTGTTTGTGAACAAATTAAGATGTTGGGTCTGCTTCAATTCCATCCCCTGTGAACAGTGGGGTCGAATCTGGGGGTTTGTTTCGACTTCGACTTGCCAAAACAAATTTAGTATTGCCAATTCCCAATTTAACATTGCCAAGACTTACTCTCAGATTCCCAGTGCTTAATTTAGTATTGCCAATGGATGAACCATCCTTTGAGAGTCATAAAATGGCTAAGGTTTGATCCGGGAATTTCCCAAACCTCGCAACAAAGATGGAAAGTAAAGCAGACCACGAAACAATCAAATTGGGCAGAATCAGGGCCTCTTGTGAGGTACCCCCCTTTGCTCGACTGCTTGTTTTTTTTTCCTCGGGGATTTATATAATTCAGAGGTTTGGGGACTACCTGAAAACAAGAATTCCTAAAGACGATTGACCGGATTATTTTACCTGAATTTGTCTGCCCGTTTTGTTATGCCCATAGTTTCCCGGCAAAAGCTGGCTATTAAAGCGAACCTTGGACAGTCACAGGATTCCGAATAAGGAAAACCTGCCACAAGCGTTTGTCGGATTTAAAGCGGACGAAGGAGCTCGCCTGGGCTCAAAACAAGCTCACCCGTGATGAAGGTTCTTTGCGGGTTCCCTTGTTCAGATGTGCCACGTTAGCTGCAGGAGTCTACTGCCTCCCAAATCCCTCGGGCCGAAGTTGGCTTGATGTGTCGATGAGACGATCATGCACAAGCTTGCTAGAGAACAGAAGGTTGTTTTAAGATAAAACACAAAGGAGAGGCATCCGTGTTTTAAGCCAACACGGAAATGGACTGAATAAGGCTGACCCTTTGCAGTTGATGTTCAACCGCAAACCAGCATGATTTGCACGGTTTACTTGTCGACCCCGTTGCTGCAAACTGAAGCGGCTCCCAACGTGTAGCCGTTTGGGAATGCCCACTTCCCATGGGACTCAAGGGCTGCACTGGTGCCACTTTGGGCCTACGATCTGAACTTGAAACAGATTCCCCGCAAGAAGGTTGTTCACATGGCAATGTGATACTTGGGATGTTTTGGGGGTTCCCAATATGCATTTCCACAGGGAATCACCACCTAGGTACCAAGCCCCTGTGAAGCCACATGCTTCTTGCCACCAGGCCACAAAGTTCTAGACGCCGCCGTTGCGGAGAAGGCGGGCTTCGATGGCGCTGGGATCCGGGAGCGTTGAAACCATAGGGCCCGACTCCATGTGAATCCCAGGGATTCTTCTGTTTTTTGTTGACTCCTTTGCGGAGTCTGTGTTTTTTGTTGGCCCACCCTGAGGCTCTATGTTCGGAGCTTGCGGGGACAGATGCGAAAGTATCAATACGACGCGGACCTTATATACAGAAGAACATTATCCAAGGTGGAGGTTCTTTGAGAGAACATAGATGAAGAGCATCGGCGGGGTTGCATAGGATCCCTTCAGACAGCCAGACGACTTGCAACCGACAGATTGTGGCCCGGCTGGGTCAAATGTACCAAGGCCAGCTTGTGTTTGACTTGTTTGTTTGCAACACTCGGATGTTGGCCTCTCATGTGTTGATATTGTTAATGGGTGACATGCGCGTTTCTTTACGCTGTTAAGCACTTGCGGTCCAATCATGCACAGATGTTCCCATTGACAATTCATGACCTAGTGATGATTCGGAACAGTTTCTTATATGCTCCCCCCCCCCTTTATTACATGAGCGAAGCATCACCTTTTGGGCGTTTAAAATAGAGCTTCCTTCTGCTGGGATGACGTTCAAGTCGGGAAAAAAAACAATGCAGCCGGGCAAAATGAATGTGCCGGAATGCCAGGTGGGTATGTGTCGAAATTGGGAAACCCAATGAAAGGGCGATTCTTTCTTCTGGTTTCCCTTCGAACCAAATTCAAGAAGAGAGACATAAAACCACAGCCGCACTGTAGGGGTCTCCCAAGAATTGTGTTTTTCCTTTTCTTTCTTTCACACCCAAATGCCAAAAGGCTGCCCTGAAAAGCAAAAATGCGCACGCACACGCACCCACGCGCACAGCCTTGCCAGGTGTACTTGGACCCCAACATGATCGTCACGATTGCCATGGCCGTGAGTTGCAGCCTCAGAGCTAGATGGCACCCTCCAAATGCCTGTTGGGTTCTCACTCCATTTTTGGGTGTGTGTACAACAACTATGTTTCATCCGGGGAGTTGAGTTCCTGTGGGTTCAGTGGGTTCAGGCCTCCACATTTGGGGTCCTTCCTATGGTCAACCTCCGTTCCAATTAATTCTGTACCCCCTGGCACGGGGCAACGAGCCACTTGCCTTTCCAGTCGAGCAACAACTCCGAAAGGGGGGGTCCTTTCTCAACTCGACGGGCACACTCAGAATGGCTGCGCCTATTGTGGACCCGTGTTTGTTTCTTCTTGCGGGCAACCACGGAAAAATAACAAACGCTTTTCATAAGCATTGATTGCAAGGAAACAACGCGTGCAAGGTCCTAGGCGGACTTGCCTTGCAATGGGTTACGCTCAAAACTGCGGGTAAAAGTGCTTGGGTCTAGCATCCTGCTTATTAGAGTATGCTGGCTCCTACCAAGCGGGTTCCTCGAATATGGACCTGGTGGATTGTTTGAAAGCGGGGTACTCTTGGGGGTCCCTTCGCTTTTCAAACAAAGGGGTCAGACGACAAACGGCTGGGACCCTCTGGCGGCAAGCTGCAAGTCCGTCGCAAGGGGGAAATCCAAGCACTGATTGCATCGCGAGCACGTCAAGTTGGCAGCCCTCTTACCCGGTCTCGTTTTGCTACGTCTTGGATTCAATGGGTCGCCACCCCAAGATTGAACCCTCGTTTAGTCAGTCTGATCGGCACTGCGTGTCTCGCTGGAGGCGCCCCAAAGCGCAAGAGCAAACCCAGTGCGCGCCCTTGACCCTCAAAGCGGGCAGACTAGAGCAGCAGTCAAATTGAAAGAAATCCATTCCAAGGATGCAGGGCCAAGAAACTTCACTCTTTTTTTGGAAAATGGGCTTTTCCGCTTTTGATCGCAGGGCAATGTGGTTTGTAGGGTGGGGTTGTTGAAGCAGCCCGGCCTGGTCGAGTTTCGATTCCACACAGGCTGACTTTTGCTGAACGAGATCTAGAGCTTGCTATTTGTATGCGGCTTCGTACCAGACACCTTGCACCCCTAGGCCCTCTATCTTCATTTCTTTTTCGGTCCAACGTTTGCCGAAATCGGCACAGTCCGGTCCAGTTGTCCAGCCCCAGTTGGATCGAGGCCAGAGAAGCCAAAGCCACAAGGCGCTTCGCAACTTGGCAACGGCAGAATCTGCTAGCGATGTTTTACTTGTTTTGGTGGTCCAACCATGAGTGTCTCTTAGTTTGTTCTACCTCTTATTAAGTTGGGAGACAAGCCATTTTTGGATATTATTGGTTGGCAGTTGGCAGGTTTCTTCATCATTTCAGTCGAGGCCCCAAAGGGTGAATCGCGGGTTGGCAAAGGAGCGGCGTCCTTCCATATGCCTTGGGTGTGCGTCCCTCTTCGCAACCCAGAACAAGGGTACTCAAATCCCCGGCCAATGCAGTGTTTTTTTACACAGGGGAAGAATCCTGCAAGAAATGCCCTGTTTTTGGCCCAGTTCCATTGTGGTTTGCCTTTGCAATGACCTGTTTGTTTGCCTGGAAAAGAATCCAATGCGGGGCCATGTCCATGGACAGTTTATTTCCATCAAACTGATCAGTTGGGGGTGGCTTCGAAGCGACACGCTTTGTTTGGTGGAGCTCCCTATTCTGGTGGTTTGACTTTCTGAAGTTGGGTTCCGCTTTTTTTTTTTTGTTGGCGTAGTTCTGCCATCAAAACTGAACAAGAGCCACGAATAGCATCGTGGGCAAGACGAGCGACGATTGAGGATACCGCTTTCACTGCAAGCTTTCTTAAACTGATTGCATTTGGCGGATCTAATCCCTCGACGCACCAGTTCCATATTTCAGGAGCATCCCCAGATGCATTGCAAGTCAGATTAAAACTCGAGATGGCGACAAGCGGTGCTGTGGATTCATGGTTTCGAAGCAACTCAGGATTCATGCCATTGACGTGTTCCTTTTTTCCTTAGTCCCCCGTTTTTGCCCAATCCAGCTTTGACTGGCTTGAGCAAGCTCCTCAGTTCTTATTGGCATGCCGCTTCGCCGGTCCGAGGCTATCTTCGGCGCATGGTCTACGAATGCCTTCCAGAGGAGCAGTATCCACATGAGACGGCGGCCTGGCAGAATGCAGCTGTCCGGAAGGATGCCTCTGGCCTTAGGGCAGGCTAAGGTAAGGATCAGGCATGTCTACGAACGGCTTTCAGGATTGACAGGGCTGGAATCTTGGCCAGAATACTGCCTTTCGTTCGTTGACTTTTCCTTTGGCTGTTCCATGAAGACCTTATATCCTGGCGCCTTGGCTTCTGGATGCGAGCGCCGTGTGGCGTCGCCATCCTCGTTTGTGAACTGTTTGCGAGCGCCTGTCCAAAACCTTAGCAAAGAAGTATGCGCGGCTATTGTCACGTGCAAGATGCTGGTCTTGTTACATTTGCGATTGAAACATCTGCACAATGTCCTTGACGTCAGATACCAACATTAGGATAGGATGGTTTACATCCCAACTCCGCCTGTGGGCTGCCTTGACCACAATATCATTTCAGCGAAGGGACTCGCCGCCCCTGAAATAGGACATGTTCCGCGATGTGGCAGTTCACCTTTGAGCCACACAAAGTTGGAAAGCCACTATGCGTTGCCAGGACATCCTCACCGCCCACCATAGTGTCCCCTTTAGTGGGCGGTAAATATCCCACAAGTATATTTTGCCCAAAGGGAAGGCGCAAGGGGATGGGTGTTGTGTTTGTTGCCTCCTTTTTTAGCACTTAGTCAAAGTTAAGCCTCAGTGAGGCCTGACTGTTGGGCTCAATTGATTTGAACTACACAACATGTGGGATTTAGCTTTGCGTGCAAAAGCCAAGTATGACTGTTCTGGTTCTTGGCCGCACAAACATGTCGCTTGGTTGCCAAAGATACGGGGGCCGTTTGGATCCTTTTAAGATCCTGATCATTTTGCGGCCTTTGAAGGGATTGCCAAGATGGGGTCATTTTGTCGACCGCCTGCCAAGGATTGGGATTTTTAACAGAGGCAAGTGGATCGCTACCATGAAAGACCAAGCCCAAAAAAGTTCTAAGAGCCCTTCTAAGCATCCCTGCTACGGCTGTAAGATCCTTTTCTGGGGCTTTCTCCCACATGGTTCTCTTTCCAAGCAGATGGGTCGTCTATGCCTCGACTTCAGAAGCCAAGGTTCAGCTCTTCGACCGACATCTCTCCTTCATTTTCTCCGAGCTGATGGCCGAGGCGCGCAAAATCAGCCGGCGCCAAGGGTGGGCCTCATGTATCGTCAATGCGCGCAACAGGGTATCACAGTCCAGTTCCCTTTTGTCACCTTATAGTGACCCGCCGCACACGATTGCTGTTGGTGTTGTCATTGTCGTTGCCAGACAGGACGTATCAGGCACAATAGTTTGGATGCACCAACAAGCAAGGTTGAATTGCCATTGTCAGTGGCAGGCACGGTTTTCCACAGCTGCCCATTTAGCGGGTTGGCGGTCCGGGTCGGGGTTCTTTATTGGCCCATATTTTGTCACACTGTGAGCAGCTGTCCACACGACTGGCAGTCTACTGTTTATTTGCGAGCACATGGCCACGAACACCAGGGGCCCACCCCGATTTTCCCATGCTCCTCCGGGGAAACTTTTCATTGTGTCGGCTCATGTCCCTAGGTCAAGCTTTTATTCCTTGGAGCCGCAAAGGCAGGCACGCTCACCATGCGGCGAGCAAGATAGGCTATTATCAATAGCGGGCTATTGCGGTACAGACTGCAGTGGTTCATGTAGAATCATGATGTTGGTCAATTTATTTGTGTTTATTTGTTTGGCTGCTTGCTTGGGGCTTGTTGGTGTGATTGTTTATGTTGTTCCTTTTGTCGGCTTGTTAGTTAGTTTGCGTGTTTATGTTTTGGCGTGTTTGTGCGTGTGCCTGCTTGTTTGTTTGCTTGCTTGTTTGTTTGTTTGTTTGTTTGTTTGTTTGTTTGTTAGCTTTCTTGCTTGCTTGCTTGTTTGTTTGTTAGCTTGCTTGCTTGCTTGCTTGCTTGCTTGCTTGTTTGTTTGTTTGTTTGTTTGTTTGTTTGATTGATTGATTGTTTGTTTGTTGGTTGTTGTTTTTTTAGCTTGTTTGTTTGTTTGTTTGCTTGCTTGCTTGTTTGCTTGTTTGCTTGTTTGCGTTTTTGCTTGTTTGTGTTTGTTTGTTTGCTTGGTTGTTTGTTTGTTTTTTGTTTGCTTGTGTGGTTGTTTGTGTTTGTTTTTTGTTGGTTGGTCGGTTGTTTGGTTGTTTGGTTGCTTGCTTGCTTGCTTGCTTGCTTGCTTGCTTGCTTGCTTTGCTTATCGGTTCTTTTACTTGTGATTGGTACATGTATTTCAGTGATTTTGTTTAGGTTTGCCTATTGGCTCACATACATGTGTATCTATTATGCATATATGTATATTTCGTCATTGTGTAGTTCATGTTGTTTATACAATTATTATGTATATCCGTTTATGCTATTTATCCCAATGTCCGTTCACTTATCATGCATTCATTCATTTGTGGATGGATAATTTAGCGACACATGTATAGCGATCAAGAGGGGCGTTTCATCTGTTCCTAAGACTGATCAATCAGCAATCCAAGCTGTTTATTTTTGAGAATCAGAGAGACTGCCTCGGTGCGTGCCAGGCCGATGGATGTTTCTGTCGAATGGAGAACCGTGATTCAAACACACTGGTAAACCTCGGCCGGGTGCTCAGGACATCAAAGGTCTTTTGGCTTTTTAGGGAGATGACGTCTAGGAGGATTGGTCCGAGCCTTAAAAGGATGACCACGAGTAGAGACTGAGACTCTGTTTGTGGTGTGTTGAGTTGTTTCTAGGGTTTCGGGAGCAATACATTATGACATTATGCCTTGGAAACGGTTTTTCCATGCTTGGCGTGCTTGTCCGGCTTACGATGTTCATCGTCAAGCAAGCTCAAGGAGCATGTGCTGAGCAAAACGATGGGGGTTGCTTTCAACCATTATTTACCTAAAATCAAATTCAGTCAACCATTCTGGGAGTTGAACCCATGCGGCCTCCGGCCGAAACGACTCGCCTACTTTCGACAGAGGTTTATGTTGCCAAGATGCCAGCCACACGAGCGCACATCCTTTCCGGCTGCGTGGTCAGATCGAAGGCTTGCCTTCTACCGCAAGCACAAGTTGCATGCCACTTTTGGGCAGCATGGTGTAAGCAACCTTGCGGCTCAGATAACCTCACCAATCATCAGTTGACAGGGACAACGACAGGAAACCTGTTTTGTTCTGCAAACTTATAGCGACAGTGGGGCATGGTATGAATTTAAAGGCTGTTTCCCCGTCCACTGCAAGGTTTCTGGCCTTTGAGCACTTTGCCAGAGGGCGACCTCGAATCGCGTTAAGCTGCCTGGGGTCTTGTTTGCCGAGCTGAGGTCACACCGAGCTCGACATCCAGATGGACTGGCAACAGTCGCACTCACAGACCTTCTCACTCTTCAACCGCAAAGCGCCTTGGCTTTTTGTGCAGTTCCCGACGTAGAAAGTAACCAGGAACTCAGGAGCAATGTAATTTCTCGTTGCAAAGCCCTGGTCTTGTTCAGTTGCAGCCTCTCAATCCCTTTGTGTGTGTGGAGTATATAATGTTTGTTGTTGCCAGGGTCACTGGGCAACTGGGTTTTGTGTGCCTTGGGGCCCAAAGAGCAGGGCTGACGAGACCGGGACTGCCAAGTCGCCACAAGCCACTTCCGTTGGCAACGGAAAGCGCGAAACACCCACGAGGTTTGTGCTCCGAGCTGTTGCCGCAAAGGTTGGGGGACCATGAGGGACCCTTCGTGAGAGTGGTGAAGTGTGATTGCAAGGTTTTGGTTATGGCCGGACGAATCGGCACACCAAGATTCTGTGCGAAGCTTTTTCCCTGGCGTAGACCCAGAGGTGTATAGCAAACTGCAGTTGCGGTCGGCTGGGCGAAGGGTTGCAGACTATTGAATACGGCCCAAGACACATTGCAACCTGCGTGTTATGTGTATAGTTGTTGTGCCAACGATTACCGTTCTCTTGAAAAAGCCAGCCAGTTGTCCACTTCCATGATTGTTGGAACATATTTGGCAAATGCGTTGTTTTGTTGTTTCGGGTAAGCCTGTCGGAGTGGTGTGAGGCGAACCTCCGGTGGAGATGGTGATGAACCCGTTTTGTAGGGATTTAACATGTTTTGTCCGGTGTGGCATTCCTGTGTGTCAGTGTAGAACCTTGGTTGCTTGATGTTGGCTTTTTGCTTGTTTTTTTTCCAGCATTCCTCAGGATGAACCCGGCAAGAGCTGCGTCGTTGGTGCAGCAGCATGTTTTGGTTGGAAGACTGGTGCTTCTCAGTGTTGATTGAATCGTTTGCTGGGTGCGTTGTGTGTTCTTCTATCCGAGTCTTGGCGAAGCTGCAGACGTAAAACAGAGCGCAATTTGTCACAGCCAAAGTATGTCCGAAACAGTCGACTCGATTGTTGTTTTACATGTTTGGTTAGTTGGCCTTGAGTCATGGCGAAGCTGAGGATGACAAAGGCAAGAAGGTCTACATGCCCACAGTAATTCAGAGTGGCTTCCAGCGGACAGACGTGGCTCTCATGAGTCGCTCGGCTTCCTCAGGAGGATGATTGGAAGGGGGAGTGACGGGCGATGGGCGCAGCGCCCCCCCCCCCCGATCCGCAGGTTTAGGCAGAATTTGAAGATTGCCAAGAAGCCGACCAGTTGGAGGAGGGGGCCTCTGATGGGGTTTCAGAAGTAAGCCAATCAATTTGCATTTGACTTGGTTCCTAGGTTTGACATATATCGACAACTAATTCGCAAGAAGTTTTTGAGACAGATCGACGCCCCCGGTCTTTCAAACTAGGCCCACCAGAGTCGTTGTTTGTTTCCGGTAAACTCTCCCTGCTGCATTTCAGCGTCTCACAAATTGGGTTGCACGGCTCCGTGGTCAGCAGGCACTTGTTTGGAGCAAAAGGTTGGAGGCTGAACAGGGCTTTTACCATGCTGTGTCGGACCTTTTGATGTTGCTTGTTCTTGTTGGCTTGACTGTCTTCTGTTTGGAGGACGTGGTTTGGGACACGTAAATGGCTCATGTGCCGCCGTCAGACCGGGATGAGTGTCTCGGTTGTCCCAAGGCAAGCCAAAGAGCACAGGACAGCCAAGGAAAAACAGAACACACACACACAAGTTGAATTGCCAGCCAATGATGCCTGGCCGACATTCATTTTCCCGAGGAGCACGTCGGCTATTCAAGGGAGCCTCCCAAACTTGTAGCCGTTGCAGGGAGGGAAACACTAACCATTTGGAGGGTTTGTATCTTGGGAATGATTAGCTCGCAAGAACCAAGAACTGTTACCAGCACCGGTGTCCTTTTTGTTTGGTGGGGTCCTTACCAGGAAGGGAGCCGCACATAGCCAATGGTCCTCTTTGTCTACAGAGCTGGCTGCTTGCAACTGAAGCAACCTGACTGAGGCATCGACATCTCCCACCCGGACATGGCCCGAAAAGTGCCCAACGACTATGACCGCATCCGGGACGGCGCCGAGGTGGAGGTCATCAACTCGGCGTGCCCTGGCATGCGAGCGCCCAGAACCCATGGCCATGGTGCATAGGTTCTACCACCTGGCGGAACATTGGAAGGCATTGCAAGGCTTGTACAAACATTGATTCAACATGGTGGAACCAAGGTCACTGGGCTCTGTGCACTCACAGGTTGTTTCATGTTTGTTCCAGCACTGATTAGGGGTATCCCCACCCATGGAAGGGGGCGGAGTACCCCCAATGAAGGGGGTTCTCATACATGTTCGCTTGCACGGGAGTTCATGTTAGCCCTACGTGTTGCCCCGGAAGAGAGGCTACAGGGCACCTTCGATTTAGTGTTTTTGCCAGCACCTTTCAGGCCCGTTGAAGATTCATTTCTTGCGCTGGCGCTTCCCTTTTGGCTTCCCGGTGTGTTTGCTTGTGTACTTATGTGTGTTTTGTTTGTTTGCTTGCTTGTTGGTTTGTTGGTTTGTTGGTTTGTTTGTTTGTGTGTTTGTTTGTTTGTTTGTTTGTTTGTTTGTTTGTTTGTTTGTTTGTTGGTTGGTTGGTTGGTTGGTTGGTTGGTTGGTTGGTTGGTTGGTTGGTTGGTTGGTTGGTTGGTTGGTTGGTTGGTTGGTTGGTTGGTTGGTTGGTTGGTTGGTTGTTTGTTTGTGTGTTTGCTTGTTTGCTTGTTTGTTTGTTTGTTTGTTTGTTTGTTTGTTTCTTAATTTTTGGTTTGCTTGGTTGATTGGTTGATTGTTTGTTTGTTTGTTTGTTTGTTTGTTTGGTTGGTTGGTTGTTTGTTTGTTTCTTTGTCTGTTTGTTTGTTCGGCTGGTTGTTTTGTGTTTTTGTTTGTGTTTTGCTTGCATTGCTTTGCCCTGCCTTGCGTTGCCGTGCCTTGCTTGCTGTTTTTGTGTGGAGCACCGTCGCGTGAAATCCCAGGACCCAGCCGGACAAGACGGCGCCGTTGGGCGTGAAGCTGACCTCACCTCCGAAGGTGCCACGGCATCGAACTTGGTACGTACGCTACAGCCGTGCATGGCTTAAGTTTGGTTTATCCATCTACTTTTTGTGTGTTCTTGACTTCTTAGTCTAGTAACTCTAACATATTTACCGCTTGGGTTGAGCTTGAATGGAGAACATGGAGGTCATAGCCACCATTCCAGAGGTCCTTGTGGACGTGGGATGTTCAAGCAACAGTCAGGCATACATGACAAAATAGATGAGTGTCCCAATTCTGTTGATGGCTCGCCTCTCTTTTAGCCCATTTCTCAATTTCATTTGTATCGGGTGTGCTTTCCAATAAAAGCAAATGAGCGAGCCCTGGGCAAGTTTCAATAGCAACGAATACACCGGCGCAAACTGGTGGTTCTAAGCCAGAGTCCCCCAAGAGTCAAGCATGTTGACAAAGGTGGCTAAGTCGCCCAAGTACCCAGTTCAGTGGCACCTTTTCCCTTTTTGCTTGGTTGGTTCCTCCCCAAGAAATGATCGACCGCAAGAAGGCCCCCCTTTTCAAAGTGTTACCCTCAAACTATCCGGAGTCGGGGAGGGGCAATGCACGACGAGATCCATCAGCAAAAGGGCCCTGGTTTCGGCCATACATAAAGTTGCTAAGGCCACGCCATGCCACGCAAGTCACTTTGCTCCCCCTAACTGCGGTCATGATTTTGACTAATTCTGGAGATCATCAAAGTCAGAAACTGGCTGGCGGTTTTCCTTTAACCTACTCAGGGGTGACTTTGATAGTGAAATAATGGGGGCCAGCCTGAAGCAAAGTTTCCTTTAAGACCTTCGCCTCTCTCCTGTTTCTGAGGTGAATTTTGAGGAAGGCCTGATCTATCGCCTGGATCGACTGGCGAGCACGGATCAGACCAGACGCATGCTTGAGGCGTTGAAGGTGATTTTGAAGAATCCAGCGCCTGGGCGTCGATTTTTTTGGGTTTGCATTTGTTTCAGTGTACCCTTTTGGGTCGGTTTTAGAGTCATACGGGCAAACTCAAGAGACATCAAATTCGGGGGTCCCGTAATTTGGACCAAGCCTATTTTGCATGGCACACGCGAACAGGGTTGAGCAGAGGCGAGCTGATGAGATCCACGATGGCTGTTCGAGAGTGGATGTATCAAAACTCGCTGAGCTTAGTCGGCCCCTTTGAGAATATATTAAGGACACCAGAGAAGGGATGAACTTTTGCTTGGGAAATGACCAGTAAGCGCTCGAAAGGAGCTACTAACCTTTGGTCACGAAGTGTTTGGATCACTGACATTTCTTGACGTAAAGGATTCGGCCGTGTGTTCGCAAATTCCCAGCCATGCGGATACATGTCAAAGGAAGAGGAGTTGCAGTATTCTGGGCACCTTGTCATCTTCCGAAAAAGGCCCTGCCAGAACTGGACGCGGGCGGCCGGAACTGCCACGCAGAGAGGCCTCAAATTTCATGGCAAAGGGGGGACTCCCCGACAAAGACGGCCAAGATGAACACGATTGGCCCCCCAACAGGCCTGATTTGTCCCAATTGGGATTGGGGGCCCTGTTCGGGGGCTCTTGACAACCATAGATTAAATGGTCCGATTCGGAAGTATCCTCCTTTTGAGCAGGCCCGCATGTGTTTTGGCACAAGGGTAGCGAGATGGAAAGCAAAAGTAGGTGCCCCTGATATGTTCAAGTGCCAACACCTGTGAGCTTTGGTTTAGTCTTCCTGCCAAGCAAGTCCCCTAAACGGCACCTACCACCCGTACCCACTCTTGCAGCACTTAATTGTGCTGTTCTTTACCACCAGCTTGCCGGGAGACGCATTTTACCACCGATTTTCAGGAATTCCTAGCTTGCATCAAGCTGTTTTTTCCGATTGGACTCCGAGGTTTTTCGGATTCCATCAAGTTGCGTTCCCTAAGAATCTTGGGACCTCAAAGAGGCCCTTTTTGTGGTCCAAACACTTCCAATCCAGGCTCCTGAAGCGGGTCCAATGATGCTTAGGGCTGGGTTGGTCTGACCCTGGGGGCGGTTGGAGACCCTTTTGCAAGAAAGGCAAACCGTTTGGATTGTGTGTTGTGTTGTGTTGTTTCCCAAGTTTCCCTTGACAATTCATCCCCGAAAGAAGGAAAAGGGCTGTGAAGTAGTCTCCCTCTTTTTCGCAAAAAGAAGGAGCCGAACTGTTTGGTGCAATGAACGCCTTTCAACAAATCCCCTTTCAGCATCCCGTCTCTGCTTCCCATGGGCCCCAGGCAGTGGATCCCTCTCCTATGATTCCACATGAAGTCTTGCGGCTCCACGGCGGCAACGAGCCGCTTCGAGCCACCCTTGTGCTTCCCAACAATATGTGGGTGGATTTGTGTCTTTCGAGCGTACCCGGGTTTGTTTGAAGGAAAATCAACATGATCACAGCGTTTTTTTGGATAGAAGCCACAAGTTCTTCAGTGGCATCCAGCTTGGTGCTTTCCCGCTAATTGTGGCCCCTTTTCTGCCAGGGTCCCTGATCTGGGGGCAGGACTGGGAATCCCTTGTGGACTCGTGATGTCTCGTGCACCCTTTTTGCCGCCAAGATACACGCAGGTCAACTACAGGATCGCATATAGCCTGGTTTGACATGCTTGGCGTGGGTCAGGTTTCTGTGGGCTTGGGGGGGTTCTCGTGGCTTCACGAAATGGTCACACTTTTGGTTGTGGCCTTTTGCGCTAGCCGCACCTTGGCCAGCCGACAGGTGGTAGCTTTGTTTCAACTTGCCCAGTAAGCTTCCCTTTCTTTCTTCGCGGGGCGGGGTTCCTTAAGAGGTGCCCTGTTGTGCGGAGCCACTGTCACCATACTCCAGTTGAGGCGGCGATCCGTTGAAGGAAAGATTACTCCTCGCTTTGGTGTTACCTGTCACCATACTCCAAGTTGATCAACCACGTCAGATATCAAACCCACGGATTGGAGACGTGCGCCCAATGCGCGCCCGTGGTTTCTGTGTGTTCCTTGGTGTCAACCAAACATAGACAGAACCGTATGAAGAGCTCACCCTGAATCAGCTCGCTGGTACAGGTTTCTTACGTGAGGATGCCTTCCCTTGAGGGATTTCTAGTCTTAGTTCCAGACAAACCACAGGTTTCCTTTGTCCTCTTGGAATTCTATTGGGCAAGTAAGACGCGTTCAATCCTGGTCATATGTGTCAGGCGTCGCCATGGCTCAACATCCCTATTGCTTTTGGGCAATAGGGTCGGTCATCAAAATGTTCGACTAGCATCATCTGGATATTATTTTGCAAACTGTAGGTTTCGGCCAAATGCTTCCTTCATGCCCTTGATAGGTCACGGAATTTGTGGGACTTCGGAGACAGACTTTGCCCACCTTCTTCCGTTTTGGGAGCGGTTTTGCATTTTCCAGGGTGGGTAAACACAGTTCTGAGTTGGGCCGCTTCTCAAGCCTTTTTGGAGATCAATCGTGAAGTGTCAGGTTGTTGGTTTTTGGTGTGGCTCGTTTTCTGGCTTGAACGACATCGGAACTCATCCAAAGCATCCTACACAATGGTACGCCTTCAAGGGAGGAGCCCAATACATTTTTGTTTGTGGGGTTGGTCCAGACTTGCTTGATTTGACAAGAGACACCCGGACAAATTGTTCCGGGCAACTTTGAGTCGACTCGCTGGGGCCCAGGAAGCTGATCACCAATCCAGTGGAAAAGACCCTCAAACAGGCGGGAGCGTGAGCATTCGCAGACCGTGCGCTGGCGTTGGTTCAGTGATTCGGTACGCTTTGTTCAGCAGAGTTTTGTGGAAAAAGGGAATGTGGCCCGCGTTTGTCACCTACAATTCGCCTTCACAAATTGTTGAACCTGTCACGTGCGCGTAGGAAGTAGTTTCGGCCCGTATTCCAATCTCCTTTGGAGTACAGCTAGCAAGGCCTTTGGGAGCGGCTTTTCAAGATGCCACGCCAATCTAGGGAATGTATTGGGCAAGAACCACTAGGTGTGTGCTGTGCATGACTGCAGCATGACCGCATGACGCCAACCCCCCGGCACAGTCAAAGCCGACGGAAATACAACCATGCAGCAGCCTATATACATATTATGTGGGAAACAGCTTTGTTTATCAGCAGTTTGAAGAATGCTCAGGTGTGACACACACACACACACAATATACATTCCCGCAACCGTTTGGTGACTAGCGGGTTTCAAAAAACACATTGTCAGGTTGGGGCCTGTAGGGGGACCTGTAGTTTATGTTGGCTCGCCTCTAAGGGTCCACCGGGCACGGCAGGCTCCAATGTGTTGACGATGTTTGACAACTTTCCACTTTTTGGTCACTCGGTATACACGTAAAACAACACCAGCCTTACCACATACACACTTGCCAGACACTGCCATCCCGTCCATCCCCCCAGTTCCTCCCAGTTCCTCCCATGTCCTCCCTTTCCCATCGCCGCGTGAGGCGAATTTGTCGCACTTGCCACTGGAACCAGTGGACTACAGCAATAGCAAGATCAAGATGGATGGCCTCCAAGCCTTCCAGAACGAGGCTCAGGATTTTCTCGGGTGTGAAACAGGTGCTGTTTGCGCGTTTACCTATATGGAGGATAGGCGCCGGATTTTTATTGTTACTAAACCCTTTCTCCTCCCTTAAAATGGAATGAGAGATGTGATTCCTAGAATCTGGATTTGTGGTCCATGCGAAAGTGGACAAGGTATCAAGGGTCGGGCCCATCTTTCGCATCTTTCATCAGGTGACCCTGGACTTTGTCCTTCTGGTTTGATTTGTCTAGTGTGGCTTTCCCTTAACTATGGCCCAGTTCAGCGAAACCCTTTATCCCTTTTTCGTTTGGTGGGCTCACCCGAAATGTATCAACTTCATAAAGGGGCCTCTTGTTCGACCAGTTTCAGAAGTATCTCAAATGGTGATACTTGCTCCATGGTGGCTGGGCCCCAAGAACAGTTCGCTTTTTCGGTGGCTTCGAAGTGGATGGAGAGAATCCCCTTCCCACTGTTGCTGGGTGGTTTATCAAAGTATCTATGACTGGTGTTGTGTAGTTTTTCCAATTATTGGATCTGTTCATACATATATATGTACATACATATATATGTATATATTATGTATATATATATATATTCAATTTATGTTTTGCGGTGTTTGCTTATTTGTAGATCCTGAGGTATCACGACTCGTGACCTGCACAATCGACGCAAGCTCCAGACTTCGCCCGAAGGCTTTTCACCTTGGTTTCTCTTTTCCCATAAACTGGAAACTGTTCCCAGCTGTTCACTGGCAACCCCTTTTGCCTTTTGTTTGGTAGCTTCCCCACTAAAAATGGTCACTGAGCAACTTGATGTGCTATGGTTTTCTTGTCAACGCGCTTTAAGGCTTTGATGCACATTCCCGCTCAAGATTGTACCGAACAAGCAAACCACTGGCCAAGGGCGAACAGCTGAATGTTTTCTGGCACTTTGTTTGTTCGCAGGCAAAGCACGTCTATGCGCACCTTCTGAACAAGAGTCAGATTGAAGCGTTGGCCACTGGGCGAACACTGCTGGCTCGCGGATTGATTTGTTTGCTTCCTTTTCGCATGGCCAACGCGTGGCGGTTGCTTGTTTTGGCAGGGCGCCTCTCGATTGTGAGTGAATCCTTGCTCCAGTTTGTGTGTCTTGGGCAGCTTTTTAGGTGTTTTGGTATTTGGGAGTTTACGCAATGTCCAGGCTGCGTGCCTATCAATACCAATCAGCCCTTTGCGGCCTTGCAGTTTTATCAGGGGCTTTCGCCCAGCCAATGTTGGGCTGTTGGTGTGTTTGCTGTCCACTGAAGCCCAGGGTGTTGATGGACTTTTTTGAACTAGGGAGTTGCTTTACGTACAACTCGTGGGTCTTGAGAAGGTAGAGGCTGATCTCGAAGGTGCACCTCTTTCGGAAGGCTTTGGGAGGTAGTTGCGTAGTGGAGTGCAGCGGTAGCATGTTGACGCTTGTGGGAATTTTGTGCAACCCCCTCAAAGGAGGAATTCGTGACTAGATGATCACAAACATTCCTTGAATGCTGGTTGGCAAAGCGTTTTGCTATTTGGGGCAAAAACAATGGTTGTCGAAAGGAGCCACACAGGACCCTATTCTATAAACAGATGAGTAGACCCTGCCATGCTCCATTCCTCAGTTTGCCCAGGAACTAACGACTGGCCACTTCAGACCGATTCGCACTGCTGGCCTCAAGGTCTTTGTTGTGTGTTTTTCTGGCGGTTTGGAGAACCCCTTGGAGTCACTTCCAGATGCACATCTCGGCAGTCATTAGCCGCGCAGACCTGCGTGTGCGCCGTAACTTCCGAGGAATTGTCCTCCACGCGTCGCTTGACGCTGATCCAGGGGCCTCCCGGCACCGGTAAGACCACGACCGCAGTCCAGATCGTCGCGGCAATGGTCCGGCCGAGAGCTCGGCCAACTTGCCGGGCGCGATGGTTTGATGGGGGCCCAAGGATGCTGATCGGATGTTCAGGGGTGCTTGCTCTTCAGGTATGACACTTTGAGTGATAGCTTGTGGGGTTCACCAGCTTGGTCCAGGCTCAACAGGTTTGAACCGCTTCCGGGCAGCTCAGCAGGTCGGGGTGTGTGGCATTTGCGCGGGACGAGACCAGGTATGGCCTTGTGGATTTGCCAATCCTTGTCACGGCGGACAGTAACACAGCGGTCGACAATCTGGTAAAGGCGCTGCCGGCCTCCGTTGGAGGTTTCCAGAACCAAGTTTTGATTGTTTGCCTTGTAAGGTTTACAAATTCTGCTTGAACATAATTAGCACTTCAAAGTTCACCAAATATGGACCAGAGTCAAAGATGTTGTTTTTGTTTCAAGAGCTGAGGTAGATATGGGGCTACCTCATCCGACTTATTGTATTATTTTCTTCCGCGAAAGGAGCTACCAGGGGGTTGACCTCTTTCTAGCATGCAGTTCGGATCCGAATAGTCTTGGAACATAGGATGTTGCTCCTTGACACGTCTAGTTCGCCTGTCATTTCCAGGGATGTTGGACAAATGACGTTGTGTGACTTGACCGCTTTAGTTGTGTCTTAACTGATGGTAGAAATGGAAGGTTCAGGATCCTTGCTTTGTTCTGATCCGGATGGTTTCACACGGAGGTCCGCTCAACTTGTGCCGGTTTCCTTCTGCACAGACTGAACCAGCAGATATTGCAGAACCTCAGCGTTCGGTTTGGAGGCTTGGTGCTTCAGCTTTCCAAAATCAGTGACCCTTTGGACCTGTTGAAGACCTTTAGCGTGCCAAACCGAGACCGACCTACGCTCGCTGACACAGACCTGTGGGAATGGCAAGAATGTGGCAATGTTCAACCAATCTTCTTGCCACGCTTGGGTTGAATGACCATGTTGGGGTCCGTTACTCTATGCGCAAATGGCTTGGAAGTGGCCAGTGAATCAGGACCAATTGTTCGGCTATTTGTGGGTAAAATCATGAAGTCTTTCGCACGGTTGTTTGGGAATATGAGAGCTGAATATGGTTGTCACATTAGGCCATGAAAGTATCCCACAACCCCATCTTCCACAACCTCACATCCGCGCTACCCCCACACACCCCATTCAAAGTACCCAACGAAGCCTTTGGAATCATAGGTCCGAAGTCTGGCACCGCCAGGGCATCGGCAAGACCGGGGTGAACATCGTGCGCGTGGGTCGGCCGGAGGCCATCCGTGAAGATGTGAAGGCCTATGCTTTGGATGGGCGCTGGAAGGACCGCGTTTTTGGTCGACCAGAAGTGGTGAGTGGGTGCCCCCGGGTCCATGGGAATATGGATGTGATGTGAGGGTACTTGATTCGTTTTTTGTTATTGGGGGGAGGTTGAAGGAGAACCAAAGGAACTACCACCCTTCTTTTTGTTTATTTGTTTTGAGGAGGGGTACCACTACTTTGATACATGCACACCGGAGTTTCCGGATTTCGGTGTTCTGGCCCCAGCTTTGGATCTAGCCTTGGAGGCTCGGCCGGCCCTGAGGGTCTCGTACCTCTGGAGACATCAGTTGGAGGGGACCTTGTGGGGATGCTGAGTTGGTGCATCAAAGAACCGACCTGACTTGACGCACTCACAGTGTCAGCTTGGTTTGTTCCAAGGAATCCAAACCGAACCATGTGGCAGACTGCTTTTCACTTTGTTCCAATGGCTGCGTCCCAAAACGGAGTAGCCGGGTACACCTTTCTGACGGATTTGGACTGCTTTTGAGGGTTCCTGTTTTGGTTGGTTTTACGAGACACCAACAGGAAATCCACCATTGTAGGGTTCCCTTATTTTGACACATACCCATTTTGCTCCCTGCTTTGGCTTGCAATATGAATAAATGTCAGACAGCAGATCGATCCTTCTGGTCCTATGTTGTGTTGGGGCAGGGTTGCGCAAGATTCCCTCTGCTGGTAGGTAGGAACCACCCTTAAAAATACAAGGAACATGTATGGTTACCTTCTACATCGGCAACTGAAAGCAGGATCATATTACGGGATATTATGGAAGCACTTCTGAGCTGGAGCATACTGCCTCAGACAGAAGGGGAACTCCCCAACATTTTGAAGATTCGTGAGGGTTTGGGTGTGTGTTGTTGTGTTTTTTTTTCTTCTCCAGGTGTCCCTTGTTTTTTGAGGGGCTCAAAGGCAACCCAACTTTTTAGTTCGGGGTACCCTCAGTTTGAGGCGAAGCACAATCTATATCTGAGATTTGGTTTCGGGACACTTGCAAGCAGACACGGTTTTGGCCCCAAAGCTGCTGTTGCACCCAACCCTGAAGGTCCACATGGGGTGTACTCTAACCCCTTTGGCCCTGTACACTCAAGGAAGGTGGGACTCTTCGGGAACCATGGGTCGGCAATTCTTTCTTGGACTGCTAATCCCTCAGTTGCCCACTACAGGGAAATGGTATTGACTCAGGGTCGCTGAAAGGAGTCAAACCTCGTTTGAGAGGATCGTGTCCTCTACTTGATGGCTCCCAGCCATCCCCTTAGCGTTTTAGCTTTTGGTGTTTAGTGGTAGTTTTGCATGGAACCCACTAACAGTTCAACTTTTAGCGGGGGATCAGAAAACGGGCAGCCCAGTTTGATGACCCCTGGAACGGGTCACGCTTTGGTTTCCGCGCTAGGACCTCAAGAAGGCAGAGGTGGTGTGCGCCACGTGCATCGGTGCGTCCGGCACGACCCTGGACAAGGCCAGTAGGGATGCCAGGAGTAGATGAGTGTCGGTAAGTGCGGCTTGAGACCCCGCGGTTCTTTATGGTGTTGTACATCTGTAAAAGAGTGGTCATCCTCGGCGAGAACATTTACCAGTGGCTATCTTGGTCAGGTTCCCTTGCTGGATGTTCAAATTAGTTTTTGAAGCCTAGTTCGCTTGGTCATATGTAAAAGAAGTGAATTCAAGTCGTGCTGCCTATGGTTTAGCCAAGCATTCATAAGGTTTCATCCATACCAACTGGTGCATGCTTTTGTCCATTCACAGCACAAAAGTGCCGATAAATGCTCTAGTACCCCCGAAGAGAGAATCTCCTGCACGACGAGTTCCAGACTTGAAAAGGGCACTTCGGCAGTGCTCTGAAGAGGGAACTTGCAACAACGGCTGTACCTACTTTGGGTCAGCGTGTGTTCGATAGTTGGTCGAGCAAGGTTTTGAATCCATTCACTTGACTCAGTAGCATGTATTCGGTGTGCGCCAATCAGTCCTTGGCAGTGCAGCCTGAGGCTCGTCAGTTTTCATGAGGGTTGGCTTGGATAGAACTGTTCACCCGTGGTTGGCCCAATCCTGTGCACCAGATTCATAGCGCCACTGTCTTAAAGATCTACAGACTTGTTGCTATCAGTGGGTTCCGTTCGGGCAACCTCTGAGCGCTGAAGTCCAGGTGTGCTTTCTTAGGCATCCGTTCCAAGCTATCAAGAGTTTGGCTGTTTGGGTTGGCAAATGAGACGATCATCAGCGCAGATTGCACAGGTGAAATTTCCCACGGTCATCGTGGATGAGTGCACGCAAGCAGCAGAAACTGCAGCTTTGGCTTCTGAGCCGCAATCGATTTATTCCGTGGAGGGTGACTGCGGCTGGACCGAGCATTTGAAGAATATTGAATAGTGATCCAAGGAAGCAACGAAACATCGAAGGACGGACCGCAAACGGCTGGAGGAAAAGGCACATGTTTGAGATCTCGGGGAGGCACCAGAACCAGCCCAAAGAAGGTGACTTGGAGAGGCGTATACCTATGTTGTTGGCTCCTGGTGTGGGGAATTGGCACGGACAAATGCGGCCATCTGACCTGATCCAAGCCAGGGCTGTTCCAAAGGTTGAGGTTGCAGAGAGTTCTATCCTTATTTAAAATGGTTGCTTTGCGTTTTCCCGCGACACGGCCACGCACAATCTTTGGCCGTCGCGAACTCAACATGAATCAAACCACCGAACGTCCTATGAACGCGTTTGCTTCCGAACCGTTCACGTGCTTCGGATGTTTCATACACTCCCAGCGTAGGAGTCACACGACGAAGAAGAATACGGTTGTGTTCATGTTTGCTTGCGCGGCAGATGGTTGTGCCCTGGGAACAGATCTTGTTTCGAAACTGCCCACTTCGGCAGCGCGGGTCCATTTCCACCCGACTTGCTGAGGTTCCCATTGCCAGAGGTTGTCAGCAAGCGATTCTGATTGGCGACCAGTGTCAGTTGCCACCCACTGCAGCTCGGCCAGATGGAGACAGGGCGGGGAAATGAGAGGCGCAGCGGGGGCTGGCAAAAACAAACACGGGCGCCGCAGAGTCCAGGGGTTGCCCCTTTTAATATTATTGGCAACGAGGGGCAAAGAAAGCTAGACGAGCCAAGTATTGGCTGTATAGAGTTAAGGAGAATCACCGGGGGTTGATATCGTCCTTGCTTTTCGCCATTCTCCCAAAAGCGTGGAATCTCTCGCAACATTCCAGACATGGCTTGAACGCCATGTCACCATGTCTTCTCCCGCTTTGAACACACGCGCTCCAGCCCTGGTAGGGTTCGCATCCTGAGGGAATGGCCAACTCTGGAAAGGGCTCCTTTCCAGGCATTCAAACCCCAAGTGGGCAACGCCCTCACAGCCGCTTTTAAGTCAAGAGCCTTGAGGAAAAGTAATTATGTTTGGGAGTGCTGAGTCGCATGTCGGCTGGAGTGCTCGGCACAGTTGACTCCAGTTGCAAGCATCTTGGAAAGCGTCTAACAAATTGGCGGAGGTGTTGCCCCCAGTGAGCTATTTGCAGTGGATGGTGTGCCCAAGTTAATCTCCCCAAGCGCAAGGGGCCTGGCAAGCCTTTTTTTGCAGGCCTAGGGCACTTCTATTCATGTCTTGGCACATTTTACTTCCCCCCATTCTCGGGCGCTAAGTGCCCCAAAATGCAGCCGTATGCTAAACGGCACAGGGAAGAGGTATGATTTGCGAAGGTCCAAGCGCCGCGACCAGTGAAATGGCATCGCTCGCTGAGGTCCTGTCGGACGTGGCAGAGACCGAGAACCTTGGAGAGTCTCTCTTCACGCGGCTAGTGACACAGGGTGTCAGGCTCGCTTCGACCGGATTTGTTGAACGTGTCTCTGTAAGCTTCAGTGGCTCTCATTTGGTCACTTGGTCAGAAGCCGATTCTTGAAAGGGAGGTGCGACTGCTTTCCAGACTGCACTTGCTCCTGGTTTGTAATGTTGCACAGGTTTTGTCTTGAATGTGCTGGCTAAATCAAAGTGTCTGGAGTCAACATATACACATATACATAATATGTGTATATATATATATATATGTCGGACCAGCTTTAAAATAGAAACAGCGTATCGGTGTCCTTTCGAATGATCACGCATGAATCCACGGTCACTGTGAATGAGTCACGCTGAAATCACAACCATGGGACTCACCGTCTTTTTCATGCTCTCTGGAGTAATTTGACCGTGGCTCACCTTAAAGCGGGTGGAAGGCCTGTTCGTTTCAGAAGTCAGCGTGAAGCGGTCGTCATTTTGTCATTTCGAATCCAACTGGTCTTAGACACGTTCCGATCTTTGGGCGTTGCTTTTCCTTACCGCCTGAGTGCGGTATAAATGTGTATGCCTCTTTCCGAAGGTCACCCACCTTGGCCACCTTTGAAGGAGCTTTCAGTTTGAGAGATACGTTCCTAACATGGGACACACTGAAAAAGTGTGGTAGACAGAAAACCAAACGTGGCCAGACCCAGGAACAAGTTTGACCCCAGCTGTTCACTGGAACCCTTCTTCATCCTTTTCGCATTTTGGCTTGGTGAGTTGCGCACTTAACACGGGGAGGTCAACCCCGAACGGGTTCCCTTTCCATTTCTACTACTTGGACAGGAAGTCACTCAGCGACCAAACCGTCACATTATCACGTGCAGGCCTTGCCTTTTGGACACCCAGTACCGTATGCATCCCCTGGTGGCAGAATTCGCCTCGGCAGCTTGGCTGGTTGAGTTGGATCTGTGTCAATAGCCCATGTTTGATTTGCCCAAAGGGAACCATGGGATGGGTATTCTGCCACACCCCCTGGTTGGCATGTCGTGTACCTGCGGCTTGCGGAATCAGTTTTTCATGCACTGTGACATTGCGCGTAAGTGTGCCACATCGGAAGGTATGGGGCCCCAGTTGTCAACCAGGGCTTTGCTGGTCCGGGGTTGTCATTAGCAAGCCTTTTAGAGGGCTTATGAACATCATGCACGCGCGCCCACATCATGCATACACTATGCCGTTTTATTTGTGCGTCATCCATGCTGGCATGATAAACGCGTTGGTGCAGTGCATCACGCAGGCGAGCAGGGACCGTGCATGGAGTCATACAGGCATCACAGGCATGGCCATTCTTTGCCCAGCTGAAAAAGCCCATTGAGCTAGACATTTCTCAGACGTGGGTTCGAGGATTGCGGGAAGCTGAATTTCTTGCGTGTGTGTGTGTGTGTGTTTGATTATATATGATGTTTAGCCGGTTTGACATTTTTGTTTGTTACCTTCAGTCAAGTTGCCATTTCATGGGCAGACATGACAAGTCTAGTTACTCAGATACGGTGTTGATGTTGGCCTGTCGTGATTGGTAGTGGACGGCACTCACTGGGTTACGAAGCAAAAAATGACTGCAGCGATTTGTACCATCAAGCAATTGCACCAGAGTGATCTCGCACTTGCTCCAGAGCCACCTCGCCGTGATGTCCCTGCGGTCTATCCTCGTTGCCCTGCTGTTCAGCGCGGTGTTCGCTTCTGAGAACACAACAACGACATCGACGACCATGGATATGGAGGATGACAACACCACGACCATGACCACAACCACCGGTGCTTCTGCAATCTCCTTCGGCTACATGGCTGCTCCAGCCTCCCTGGTTGCTGCTGTGACCGTTGGCCATCTGGTCAATTCTTGAAGGCTTCAATGAACCGATTTCATCCCAAGTCCCGCCAGCTTGACGTCATTCGATGATATGCGCAGCTGGATTGTTGTATCGGCCTTGCACCGACCCCTGCGGCACAGATTCCGTGGGCTGTTTAATTGGGACTCTACTAATTCGCTGCATTCAGATATCCATAATGGATCGATATCTACCAGCAATGAGCGACATGAGCGAGCAGTGCTGTAAAGACAAGCCTGATCGGACGGGTAGCGCTGCGGATTTGTTCAAGATTCACTTTGTACTTCAAGGGGCTGGATACTAAGTAAGCAGCTTGGAACCGGTAATAAGCCACAACCAAATTCTGACCATTGTCTCCTTCCCTGACGTACGACCTTTTTGCGCAAGGGGTCCTTTGATTGACCTGGCCTCATTATTAAGCCAGAATCAAAATCACCCCCTAAGTGGGGTAAAGGGAAGCAATCAACCATTCTCTGACTATACCCCCCAGAAACCGCCAAAATATAGACCCCAGTTCACCCATGGCTCACCGTGTTTTGGCTCAGCTCAGGCGGCCTTCTACAACGGCCGGCTGCAGAACGGTGTGTCTCACATCCACCGAAAGCCGCCCGAGGGCTTCCCTTGGCCCCAGAGGCTTGGGTGAGTGTCGTGTTTTCGGGGACCCTCTCAAAACGACGCATGTGTGTTTGTGTTTTGAGGCTCGGCAGCCTTTCCAGGCTGGAAACGAACATCTCCGAGTCTACGCATATCTGCAATGAGAACTTGCCGCCCCATGGTGAAGGTTAGCACCTGAATGCGGCTTGAAGTACCCGCCGCCAGGGCGGAACAGTGGACCTGGGTCCTGTCCCAAAATGCCTTGTCAAAGCCAGGCGTCATATTCGCGGGTCAGCGCAGGGCAGCAAGATCGCATGTTCGCCGGGGTGTAAAGAAGGCTGTCCTAGCGCACACGAGTGCGAGGAGCATGCTATGTCGCTGCCGGAGAATCCCCTTGTTGTCCGTGCCGCCTTCTTGTTTCTGGTGCTGGCAATGGACTTCATGCCTTTTCGGAAGACTAGTGTGTTGCCAAAGAGACAGTTTGAAGCAGCTCGGACTGTGGGCGAATCCACTTAGAAAGTGAGTTCTTTCCTTGTGGCGACAAGCAAGAAACGAGGGCTTCGATTGAAAACCCATGGCCACTGGCAGTCCACCCCTGGGACGCCAACAGATCGCGCAGAGCGCGGTGGTGATGGTGTTGAACAAAGTCAATTGGATTTCAACAGGATTTCATTTGCCTAATTCCAACAGAGTAGTATGATAGGAGGCCATGCACGCAGCTGCCACACATGGTTCGGGGAAGCTTGGCGGTGTGCAACAAAGCCGACTCCTTCGAATTACTAGTTCCGCGCAATTTGTCCCGCAAGTAGTCAAGAGGGACCTAGATTGGGCAATGAATTCCCTCGGCAGGAATCGCAGCGCAGCAAAGCTCAGCTATCCTCGGATCAACACATTGGACGTGGACAGAAATGGTACCGGACAATTACCATCCTTTTGATATGGCCCTTTGTCCACTCCATGATTGTTGGCAAGCGTAGCATTGGAGTTCAGTTTTGTGCATTTTTGTGCCAAGGATGTGACTGACAACAGTTTGTTGGAGTGCAACCAACTGCCAGCACCTTATCTAGTGTTGACCATGCAGAATCGAATCAAAAGGAGCAAGAGAGTGGAGCCCCTCGGTCGCGTGTCATGTGTGAATTGTGTGTTGAGTCGGTCATCCTTTAAACAACTATCCTAAAGGGTCCCTGGTGTTTGAAAACTTCCATTTGCTTTTCGCAGGCACATGCCTGTGGCCTTCATCAACCTGGAGAAGTGTGAGGAGAAGCGCGAGGGCCACGGCTCTTCGTACATCAACCCGGCAGAGGATGGGAGAGCAGAGTTCACCCAGATATCTTCCTAGACTCCTAGACTTTTAGACCTAGACCTCTAGTGCTGCTTCTTCCTCTTTTTTTCTCAACTGAAAGCATTTGGGGTCTCAGATTGGCGCCAGAGTGGTTCTGAGTGGCGGACTAGGGTTCCGGAAGGGTTCCGAGGGTGGCTGCTGGGGATATCTCCTGGGCTGATTTGCGAGGGGTATGCCTTCAAGATTAAGCAAACATAGGGCTTCCTTTTTGCCCATGGAAATCCACTGGAGGTCTGGGTCTTGTAGTGTAACGTGGGGTACCCCTGTGAATCGTTAGCGTCCTTTTGGTTTCTCTCAACAGAATCTCTCAAGATATACACTCCCACCAGCATGGAATTCACCACAGGGTACCTTTCAGAGGAAAGCGGTTTTTCAGGGCCCTCAGTCAGGCTCCATTTTGGTGGGAGAGGAGAATCTAGAAACACGACTGGTCTTTCTCTTGAGAATACTGCTCCACACCTGAGCTGTTTTTTCCATGGGTCAGGTTGATTCAAGGCATCCATGCTCTTCGTTTGTGATCCAACCTATGGGCTTTCCCACGTTCGTTCCTTTGCATTGATATTGAGCTTCTTATGAGCCAACACAAGGAGGTACCTCATGTTGACTCGTTTACACCCTGGGTGTGACCTGCCTGCTGCGTACATGTGTTGCGTGGGTTTTTCACCCAAGCAATGACAACAAGGCTGACGTTCCCTCAAGAAAAGTGTTCTACTCGTACCAAACAGGACCCGTGCAAGATAAACAGCTCAACTTGCTCAAAATAAGGCTCTCGCGGACGACCAGCCAAGGGCTCACGCCAGCTAAGGGCGGTGGTTCCCATTAGAAATGTGTTTTGCTATCACCTGCTTGGACCGTTGGAGCTGGGATTTTAGGAGACGAAGCTGGGGAGAACCCCCTTCATTGCTCATGCATCTCTAGATGCACATATCTGAAAATCGAGGGGGCTTTTTTCAACAATATTGTTTTCCCCAGGAGGGTCACTTATCCTTCCAGGATGGCTTTTGATTTAAAATATTAAAGTACCGTAGCAGGTTCTCCGGGCCTTAGTGTTCAGGTTGGGCTTTTGATTCCTTCCAACATCTTCCAACAAACGCCGATTGCCATTCTGCGTGCACGAGAGGCTTCCGGTCCCCGTTTGATCTCATGCGTTGGCAGGCAGAGAAGACGATGTGGGCTCTGCTGGAGGTCACGAAGAACGGTAAGATCGGCCCGGAGGATGTGGGCATAGTGAGCCTTGGAGAAATCAGAAAGCATTGCCAGACTTGTATTTGTTTGCCTGTTTGGTTTTCCCCCCAAGACAGCATGCTAACTTTTTGCAGAGGGTCTTGCCTTTGCCTGGCTCCATCCCAGCCAAAGGCGGCTCTGCACAGACCAGAGGGAGCCCCTTTTCTTAACCTTCCGCAAGCGCAAGTGGTGGTTGTCTTTTTCTCGCCTCAGCAGCCCCTTTGGTGCTATCCCCAGTTCACCCTGTTCCCCTTTTTGTTTGATGTGGTCTTCTCTCAACCTCAAACAGAAATGGTTCGCTTGTTCTACAACGGTCACCTGTTGCACCTGGTGTTTTGAAAAGCCCGACACTTGCTGAGGACGCCTTACAAGGGCCAGGTGAGACTCTTGAAGAAGCTGATCAACGAACGGCCCGGCCTGCAGAAGTCCCTTGACCCAAGTTCTCCTGCGTGCATTTCAACAGTCGGACTCAACTAAATAGGTGGCTTGCCTTTTTGTTGCGGTACCCTTTTTGGTGTTGGTTTAAAGGGACATGGCGAGCTGTTCAAAGCCAGGAATTGAACACAATTGTTTGCCATGTCTTCAGTGCAGATCTTGACCGTGGCTCACATTATCAAGAACTGCTTGCTGAGACGATCAAGGAAAGAAATGCGCAGCCCAGCTTCTGGACTACAATTCTCCTTCTAGAAATCACCATCGCTGAACTTTGCACTGACACCTTCCCAATGAGACTGGTTGGTCGACGTCGAGTCAGTGGGATGAAGCCTAAAAGCATTTGCAATTCCTGCAAAACCCAAGTTTCTTGCAAGGTTTGCACAGACTCGGAAGGGCTCTTCATTTGAGCACCCGAGTTTTCGAGAGCTGACTGATTCGAGAAGCCCAGACCCAGTACACTTAGGTCAGTTTTTTTGTTCCCCCGGATTTGTGTGGGCTCCATGCGTCAGACATTCATTATAAATATGGATTGAACCGCCAGTTGAACGGAAGGTAAAGTGAGCTCAGGTTCCGATCTGGCCTGGAGGTGGAGTCCGTTGACAGATTCCAGGGCCAGGAGAAGGAGGCACGCCCAACGGATTTTGCAACGAACTATGATTGAGTCTTGTTGGCTCAAAAAGCAATTTACGGTTGTTTTCTGTGTTTCTTGATGTCCTTGTCATCGAGATATGTGAAGCTTAGGCTATGGCTGGCTCACGAGAGCAATTCCCCGCACAAGAGCCGGCAATGTTCCACCCATTTGTCCATGCAATGAGCCAATTCCCCTTCTCATGGCATCCCTTGCCCCAATGGAGTATACTAATATCACATAATATGTGTATATATATAGTATGCCTACATACACACATGCATATTATATATATATATATATATACAAATGTAATTTCGAATGTAATGATCTACTCACATATGTCACTATCCTTGTGTAACATCGTTTACAAGCATGCTTCGCAAGACCAGTAGCTGGTGGACCCCACTTTTGAAACAAATATTTTCTGATTTGTTCGGCGCCTCTCAGCCTTGAGATATCACGCCCGACTCCCAAAGTGGGTTTTGGGACCCTCGGGGAACCAAGCGGGAAGAACATCAGCGGGCCTCGGGCATGGGGTCCATGTCAAGCTTCAAATTCCACGGTCTTCATATGGGTTTGTCTTTGTGAAGGTTGGACCCTCAAAATGGCTTCCGTGTTCCTTTTGCCCTTCAACCACCAAAAAGGGGAAACAACAAATACTATATCATATAGGTGTCCTGTTTCCATCGGCTTGTGCCCGTCTCCAGGTCATCATTTTTTGCGCGGTGAGAAACAACCGCCGCTTGGCTGCCACAGATGGGTCAAAGCAGATGGCACAAATCCAGCTTTGTGTTTAGTCATCTCCCTTACTTACACATAAAGGGAATAGTGCCATCTACTTTCCCCCTGGTGTAGTTTGGCGATGTTTGTCGCAGACGGCGGCATAATTTTGAAGCATCACTTCCCAATAAATGAGAATGAATGAGAGCTGCTCCAGCGGTGTGTGTTACTTGTCAGAGGTAGTCCAGTGTTTTTCTCTCGAAAGCAAAGGGCAGTAAAAGAACACACACGGTATTTAGCAAGCGGTTGGCTTTGTCAGTTGCAAGATGATTTTTGCAGGCCTCAAGCTGTACTGCGTGCTGGCTGAGTTGGTGACTGCATTCAAAGCTTTGTGAGGGTCGGGAGTCTTTTGCGTGTAGAGAAGTTTGAAAGACATGGGCATGTTGAACGCTCTGGACGTATTGTAGCAATCAGCTTTTTCGAACTGAATAGCAGGGCAAACTTCCACAGTAGCCAGCTGCCTTAGCATTGGAAGCTATATGTTGTTATGTGTTGCACATCACAGTGTATTTGCCTAGGCAAGCGGAATCGAAGTATTGATGGTGAAAGTCTGCTTTCCGTATTTTCGTGTGGGACTACTAATACTTGAGCATAATAGAATGCTTCCATTCTACTCGGCAAGGACGAGACGCAAAGACGCGCTGGGACGCGTTTTGTCGTCAACATGTGTTTAACACTGGCAATGGACCAGCCTTCAACAGCAATCAGGAGTATGACACCAGGCACCTTCGAACAGTAACGTGTCTTTCGTCTTTCCCGGAAGCAAACCTCAAGTTATGTGTTATTGGAAGGTTCTCCGGTACAGTTGCGAGGCGAGAGATTTCAGCTTGCATCGCTGGTTGCAACCCTGCAGAAGCCTTGTCTGCGCCCAACGGGCCCTTTGATCATCAGACCATCAGAGACACCTCTGGCACTCTGGGTTTCTGGCATTCATTTGCGCCTTGTCCGGCAAACGACAGTCACCCTTTTTGAAGGATCAAGTCGGTTTTGGGATCTAGATAATCTATATTGCTCGTAAGCAACACTCACCGACCTATATTGCTCTACGTGAGGCAAGCTACCAAACGGTCGGAGTTGTCGGACCTCGTTTGGACCTTGTCAGTTTTGCTGTGAAAGCAAAAGCAACGACGTCAGACAAGCCCAAGGATTGTTTTGCAGGGTTCCGCCTTATCGAGCCACATGCAGTGGCCGTGGTCCAACTGTTGCTCCGGGGATTCAGACGGCGCGCTGGCCATACCCCGTGAAAGTCATGGGCTCAAAGTGAAGAGCTCAAGGCCGGCCATTTTTCAATGGGTCAAAGGGCAAGGCCTGTCCAGGAGTTCCAATCATGATTCCGATGAGAGGATAGACTTGATGGCACACAAACCACTCACCCTTCCACCGATCTGCTGAAAGAGAATGGCAATCGATCCCTTCAGAGTTTTGTGAAGACAGTTTGTGTCCATTGTAACCAGGCAGCGGAATCATAACCATTGCCTGATACGAGGACTTTTCGACATTGCTGATCAGAGCATCATGCAATGTTCGTCCAGTCTTGCAGTGCGGGACATTGGTCCCCCACTCATTCCCCACCCCGTAAGTAAAATGATGTGTTGGCCATTTACGTCGATGGTCCCGTAGGGCGGCGGAGATCCCACCAAAGTATCACACAAAAAACAAGATAAGTTGCTCAGATATTTTCCAATTCCTATGTTGAGGACTGGCATATACCATTTCAATATCATGCCTATTGGGCACATCAAATGTATATATTATGGATGTATGTATAGATATTTCTATCATGCATATGTTTGCTGTTGTATGGGCAGTGTGCATAATGAATGGATATAATATATATACACACACTAGTATGCACACATTGATAATGTTTATGGTCTAAACATATGAGCCGCCCCCCGGTTTGAGCACTCTGCACCAGGCGAGGGCAAGGTGGGCTTCCTTTGTGACTGGCGCCGCCTCAACGTCATGCTCACGCGAGCGCGGATCGGCCTCATCGATTCTCGGCGAAGTAACTTTGAGGGCTGGAGACTTTGAGCCGTCGAAGTAGGCGTCCCGTAAATGAGCGTTCCCGCCAAATACCCAAACAAATGACACTGTTTGTTTCATTTGAAAGTTGGGTGTTCAAAACAAGGTGAAAATGTGGACTTGTTCTTCTTTTTTGCAGACAAACCTGAGCAGCTACAACATCCTTGGGTGAGCTAGTTGAGGTTTGCAAATGCCATACACCCCGCCTTTAGACTCCACAAAGTCCCTCAAGCGCAACCGTGACCGCGCCTAGAAATCGTTTGCCTTGGCCGATGTATCCTCATCGAAGTGACTTATTCATTATATAAACTTTATCATGGTAGGTGCTTGTTCGAAGAGATTCCACAGCAAGCATGCTTAGGTGTTAAATAAAGGTTGGATGCATGAACTACTTTGCATGCCTAGAGTACCATCAACAATTTCCAAAGTAACAATGCTTCCGTATCTTTTATTGGTGACAGAAACCAGAGTCTCTGGGACGGGTGGTTCCTCAAAGGGTTTCCCATGATTAGGGGTTGTTGAGACGTTTGTGCTTTTAGTTGGGCAGCACGCTTGCCTCTTGGGGGGCGTAGCTGTGGCGTGTGTGGGTGTGTGTGTGTGCCCCAAGTAAATGCAGCAGCATCTGTGCTGAGCAGTTGGACAATGTGCTGGGCATGACGCATGTGCTCACTATGTTACTTAGCAGTGGTGCCTAAATTCTTGGGCAGTTCAGAAGTGAGACAGGTTTAAGGACATCCCAGGAGATACATTCATGTGATGCCCACGTCACAGTTCCGACCATGGCACCGTGGGCTTGAGGTCATTGGCAGCCGAAGTACCTTGATGTCGGACCCCCTGTGGCACGAGTGGCTCATTTGGGCCGCCGCCCGGGGCGCGATCTGCGGTGAGAGCGCCAAAGGATCCTGGGTGCCAAGGCGGGGATTGAGAGAGCAGGGGCCAAGAGCCGGGTGGGGGGGGCGGAGGTCCGCTTTTTGGTTTAGTTGGAAACGGGTGACCCTGGTTTGCATGGCCAGTTTTGTTCCAAACCACAAAAGACATGCCAAGGAGAGTCTGTTTTTGAGGGAACCCGTTTGAGCTTTATTCCATTACAAGCTTCTGGTTGCCTGCTAGACTTGTCACAGCAATCAGTGAATTAGCTTTGCTTAGGCAATTTAGAGGAAAGCACCATACATTGTTTGCCGTTTCCCTTTTGACACATACCCAAATAGCAGGGATACGGGAGGACACGGATGAGGGAGGTGCTTTCTTGGGAGGCCCGATCAAGCTCGCTTTAAGCTGGAGATAGGTACACTTTGGTGCATTTTTCTTGGATGTTAGGACTTTAACTGTTTGCCAACTATTTTTGTCCATTAAACCACTAAAAGTTAAACTTTTAGCAGGGGAGCAGAAAGCAACCGAGTACACGCAACACCCGTTCTCTTTCCTGTGCTCCTGCAATCTCGCTGGCGGGAAAGCGATCGCCTGAAAAGGGAAAGTCATATGCAACCTGGCAGCCAAAAAACCAAACATGGATTCGTAAAGTTGCGGACATTGCCGGCACCTGAAGAATTGCACGGGTTTGGGCCTCAGTGCTGCGTGAAATACTGTGACAGTGCAGTTCAAGAACCAGGAAGCTGACCGATGTTCGGGGTACATGGCCCTTTTGGTGTTGCCTGAAACGGGTACCTCCAAGAGGCTGGTTGACGCTCTTGAAATTGACGACTCCCATGTTTACCATCAGAGGGAACAACTCAATACCAGCATACACCAACCATTCGGATTTGTTGGGGTCTCTGCGTTTGACACTCGCAATACACAGTCATTTGTGTGCATATATATATATACATATACATACATATGATATATATATATATATATATATAATATACACACACGCATCACATGAACAACTCGTAGGCGTACGCTCAGATGTGCACTGACCTAAAAGGCTTGTTCAACATGCTCGCTCTTGGGATGGCAACATCCCACGATGGAGGTGTTGTTGCTTGGCGCTTTAGGTGAGCGGCTGAGAAAAGTATCCTAGATCGCAACCACCTGCATTTGCCCAATAACCTATTTGGCTCGCTGGTGCTATTCCCTGGAGGGAGCTCTCTGAGTTCGGGGCCAGGTATTTGGTGGATGACCGTGATGGAATTTGGACTGTGAAGCAAGGCACGGGGCTGGAAGCGGATTGAGTCACCTACATTCTCACCTGGGAGCAAAACAAGCCTCGTGATGAAGATGCCTTACTAAGCGGGGAATACAAGTTTGAGCTTTTTGGAATATGGATACCCGACTGAGCATCCAACTATACTGGGAACGAACAAGTCCAATGGTTGGGAAAATTACGGACCATTTATGTCCAAGTGAGATGAACGACCGACTATATATTGTCTCCCAATTGGACTAGGTCGAAATTTGATTAAGGACGCCGGGATGCGAGAGGGTTACGTACCTCATGGATATTATTCCCGGAATCCGACCGGATTATTTTGGAACTAAGAAGCCCGCCTTTGCATCGGATCCAAAGCGTTTCAAACCATTGTGTTATATGCTTGTCTAGGATTCTAAGATGGTGGTACCTTTTGAAACGATCTTCAGGTGGTGGTAAATCTCGAACGCACGATTTATTCTGTGGAGGATTATCCCGTTTTCTCCGTTGGGGGTTCCAAAGCATGCCCAGATTCGCGACAGCAGCCTCAAGCCCCCCCCTGTCCAGGTGCCACATGGGTGTTGCTCATTTCGTCGAGAGTAAGGGGACGGCAGGTTAGTCTGTGTTTCCATTTACCAATGTTGCCATTTTGGGCCTCTGTGTGAGCTGCACCATGGGTGCGTCTTTTGAGGGTGTCCAGCCGTCCAGCTGACTCGGACACCCCGGACCTGCAGCCATTGGCACAAGGAAGGGCCTGCACCCGCAGCTTGTCTGGGGCGTATGCTCTCAAGCCCGGTACTCTGAAACACCTCCATTCTATTTTCTGGGTGCCAAAGGATAGTCTGGTGGTCATTTGCATGAAGGGTTTGTGAAACCGTCATCTGCGGCAAAAGGGTCTAAGATGGGATCCACTCAGAAAGAAAGAGAAACGTGTCAGTTGCAATGCAGATTGACCGTGGCTTACGTTTCGAGCGAAGCGGGAGGCATTATCGAGGAAGTTCAGAAGGGCATCAACCCAAAGGCAGGCGCCCAAGAGGTTGTGAAGGTGGAACAGAAGGAGGAGGACATCCTTGACAGTTGGGAGGACGGGCTTTTCGTTGGCATGTTTCGGCACGACGTGACTTCAACATATACTTAGATTCTTGCAAACCATTTCATGGGTATAGGAAATAAACGTGCAGGTGATACCCCAGATGAACTAACAGGAGTCGCAGTTGGACAGATGACTTGACGATTTGATGTGTCCCACGTCAGTAGTTAAGGGATTCTACCCCAATGGTAACCTTTCTTGCTGTTTATTTATTTCAAAAACCATTGCTGAAGAGGTTGTCAGCTTTCGACAACATGGGTGTTGATCGAAAGCAAACAATCCTCGTACTGGGGCTTGAAGGAGGCAGCCATTCGGTCTTTTGTAGAGGATCCGCGCAAGCTTTGCCATGGGCTCGCGAATAGTGTCCTTAGTTTGGACAATGAGGGAGGCTTTTGGTCAAGAGCCCTACCAGACTGCTTGCACTAGTCGAAGCCAATCCAGGTTTGCCTGGATGCGCGGCGCTTGGTTCTCGAACTGTCTTGATGGGTTCGAGCCACAACTAAACCAGGGATGCAATTTCGTCAGCCGGTTCCTGCAAAGCTTGGCGAGTGATCGGACAAAAGCGAAGCCTTGCCAAGCTCCTGTCCCATGGGTCCCCGCCTCGTTTTTTTGCGCGATTCGACAAAAAAATGAGGGAATTAGAATCTGCGTGATTCAACGCTTTGTATCCTATTGCCTTGCGACTGCCTTGCCTACACGTTGGATATCTTCAAGGGAACAAATGGGATAGAGGCATTCCTTTGAGATGCGAGATGTGCCATGAATAGCCATGCACGGATTCCTGCTGCTTCACCAGATTGGGAAAGCAGAGGTACAGAAGAGCTCGAGTTCGGTGAAAGGTTGGGTATCGATTTTCTAAAAAGAAAGGAAAGCCAAACAGGGAGCAACTTGGCGAAGTTCAAAAATACAAAGCCGTTACATGCGTCTGCCGTTTCGCGTCAAGAAATCTCAGGAGGAAATGGTGATGGCTCCAGAGACGTTGTTGATCTGTGTTCCTTGCCTCGCAAACAAACATTCTTCGGCCAACAAGTATCATGTGCAAAACATTACCCTTGACGTGGAGCTCTTACAAAGCCGTGTCTTTCAAGGGGAATGCGAGATGGGTGCCGTGATCGGCCAGAACGGGTCCAGCAACTGTAGCGCGAAATGTCACAACTGTTCAGTGCCAGTGTACCCAGAGTATACCCTTTGATAGCTCAGCTTTTCAGTATACACTAGCGCGCAATGCGCACTGTGCATGATGCAAACTTTCTGATCCAGCTCGAGATGGCAACTGTTCAACTTTGACAGCTGCAGCTGGAAAATCCAAATACAGTGCATGATCTCCCTTGTCAGCGAGTATGTCCAAGAAATAATGCTCCTGATGGATATTGCTGAACTTTGGACACATTCCAGTGAACTGAGTATATGCAGTAGCACATACTCCAAGCAGACGCACGTGCATTGTCACATACACACACAAGACGACATCTCAAGCCGTTGATAAGAAGAGACCTGTGTCCGGGTGGGTGTTTGGCTTTGATACCTTTGCAATCTAGTTACTTGGGTACGATACGATCAGTGACAGCTCCGTTTGGCTGTTTCAGGCAACTGTTCAATACAGCTGCCTTTACGCATGGTAGATGCCTTGTTCGAGTCTTTAGACGTGGTCTTCAAATGAGTAATAGTAGAATAATAATAGTCGACAATCAGCCTGCATGTTGCAGGCTGAAAGGATAGCATACTTAACTTAGCAAGAATGGTTATTACCCGCCAGGGACATGGTTCTGAGTTCCCTTTTCATACATTGCAAGCAGGTCCACTCACGGTTTCGCACCTGCATGGCAAGTCGGGGCAGGACATGGAGAGTCCCATCATGACGCCGGCCAACGGCCTGACGGGATCACTAGAAAAGGCCCTCGAAGAGGACAGGTCGGGAAAGCGCTTGTTGCATGAGAACAAATGCGGGTATCAGGGAGCCAGTCTGCCATTCCTTTCTGTTTGTGAGGGTAGGTCTCCATGTAGAAACCACCAACTAATGCTTGAAAAAGGCGATTCTGGTTTCAACATCAGGCGAATAGCGAGAGAGAGAGAGAGAGAGAGAGTGTAGTCAAACAATTTTACATTAGTCAGCTCTTCACTGGCAGTTGTTGTTCGCCGGTTGGTGCCCAACGTATGCCGTTAAATGTTTGCCAGGGCTTCAGACAATCGGAGCTTCTGAAATTTGGGTCGGTGTAACAGCCAAATGAGCAGAGATTGTTTCTGCTATGTATTGACTTAGTATTCACTGGTAACTTTTTTCCTGCAGCGGAGGCACGGCGGAGGCAATTCTGGTAATCGCGTAGGCAGTCCGCGTAAGCTGTTCAAGAATACCCAGTGGAGGCAGGTTTGTGTAGGCGTGTTTTGCCCCACACAAACTTAAGAGTAGCGCCCGAGTCTGCATCGGCCCTTCGGCACTCGGAGTTTGCTGCGGCGCAGGCTCACTTAGGCGCCTTCCGTGGTTGCAGCCTCTGCGTACCCAACAAAGGTACTCAATGGGGTCAAGCAAGACCAGTTGTATCCCCTTCGGGAGGGGTTTCAATACTGAACCCTACGGTTGACAGACAGTAAGAAATCCCAACGCAATCCATGTTCGCCTTGGCCAGAATGTTTTTTCAGTTGGTGACCCCCTTTTGGAGCGTTTGCGCAGGACCCGGCAGAGCTTCCGGAGACTGAGGCGGAGGAGAAACAGGCGTCGCACCTTCAATCTGAGCTTCCCAAATTAGTATTGTTTCATTTTGACTCTGGTGAAAGTGTTTCCAGGCACACAAGTGCAGCCCATTCTTCATCATCCCTCTTTCCGACAGGGGAAGAGTGCTATTTGCTTTCACCCTTGTGTATAATGTATAATATATATGTGCGTTCTTAAGTTCTTAGGGGTATTTGCTTGCTGGAAAAGGAAAGCTACAGTATTTTTGGGGTTCCTCCAATTTTGACACAAACCCAAATAGCACATTTGTGTAGGTTTTCAATGGAACCCCAAAGTGTTCAGACCCCTTTGGCACCGACTCGCAGGCTGTTTGCTCGACCAAACTGCGGAAGACGCCGCTGGATTCTGAGCTTCTCGGCCGCTGACGGCCCGACCCGGCCCGGTCCGCGCGATTCGCGGTCACCGAGCCAAAGAAATTTGCGCCGAAAGATTTACGTGGCTGCTCTTTGGGATTTGTAGCCTTTAAAGCTTTCCGGCAAAGTGTGTGTGTGTGTTTTCCTACTGATCAACAACTATCATTACACAGTAAGACTTGGTTGCACACGGGGCAATGGCCAACAAGATTGCAATGCGGATTGTGGCCAGAATTCCAGATTTAGTGATCATAGGATCAATGTGTTTTGATGGTGTCCTCGTATGTCGATTGTCTTGGCCCCATTTTACCAACCTAAACGACAGGCTTTGGAAGGTTTGCGGGTTCCTGCCACGGAGGATTTTCCGCAAGTGGCATTTGTAGAGTGAGGGCTGGTTAGACATGGTAACATCTTGGTGGGTCGGGCCTTGTGGAGTCCAGTCAAAACGACTACATTGAAACCACTGAACCATACCGCACCCTTTGATCTGGAGAAAATATGCACTTGTACGCCAGGCAGTTGTTAGACCTGGAAGGCGCTGACCTTGTTTAGCACTCACGGCGACCGCGACGGCGATACCAGGTGTTTACCAAGCCTAAGTGGCTTGGCACTGGGCAAGCAGACCGGCGGGAGGTGCAGAGGTAACCTGTTGCAAGTAGCTTTGCCTGTTCAGTGGGACCCTTTTTAATTGTTTGTTCCTGTTCATCCCTTTTGGTTTGGATTCTCCTGTAAAATGGTCACCCCGCAAGAGGGACCCCCTTTTTCTGCCAGGATCACTAGACTAGGCTGGATTTGAAGAGGATTTTGTTCAGACTGCCGTGCTTGCAGTTCCAAGTGCGCACCCATGCAACTCTCCGGATTATCGGCGATTGACGAGAGCAAGGCACATTCCGAACTCATCTAGGTTTCAAGTGGTTTCATTTAAGTTGCATTTTTGTTTGTTTGGCAATTTCCACTCATTATTTGATTAGGCTGATTTCAAGCTGGGATGCAGTGCACACATCACTGGCCTTTGAGATCTAATTTCCTGACTGGAGTTGTGCACGAATACGAATTACTGCACCATTCAATCCTTTGTCTGTGGAACACTGATGAATTGGCTTGGTGATCATTCAGCAGGACAGGGGTTCCTCAATTTCCTTATTTTGGACCTCCAAAAGTGACAGGTTCAAAGCGCAGCAGCAAACTACTTCTTTTGAAGGCCAATCTCCACCATTTGTTGGGGCCCCGTGGTTTGATACCCATTTGCAAGTAAAAACCTCGGACCATTGCACAGAGGGTCTCGTAGATTTCTGCGGATTCCATCGGTCGGTGACTGCTGCCCAAATTTTCTCTCTGGACTCTGGGTCAGCGGCGACCCGGGTCTGCGACCTTGGGACCTTTTGCAGCCGAAAAAACGCCGAAACGCCATCTAAAGACAGAGCGAGCTACGAGCGAGTTTGTCTATCAAGGGAAGGTTGAGTTCGGTGTCCTTTTGAGGCCCCCCTTTTATTTCTTTTAAAGGAAACGACACAGCTGTTTGTGGTTGGATTTTGGAGGTGGGACTTCTGGTTAGTGCATGCTCCATGTAACGCAGAGGTGACATTCCACCGCCAACCACAACAGGAACTACAACCATAGCCATGACAACCGCGGCAGAAACAGCATCAGCACAGCATCTAGAATGAGGGCCGTGAATGCATGTCAAACGACACCCCACAACAATAACAACACACACACAAACGTGCGACAGCCTGCGGGTGCCCAAGAGAGCGCAGCTTTCAGCTTTCTACATGCATCCAATGTAGAGAGTCGTGGGTCCACTGGAAAGATGTGGATCGGAGGCATGTTTCTTTGTGCCGCTCGGCGGGTCCAGGCGGTGCGTGGATTTTGGTTTGCACGGTTGCGGTTTGTTTCAGTTGGAGCAGAAGAACGCAAACACGTTCTTGACTCTACTATGAGCTGTTCATATACCTAGATGTCTATTAGATGATTCCATTATGTTTGATATCTATACTGCTATGATGTTTATTTGTGGGCAACTGGATGTCCTGAGGCTTTCATGTTGGTTTCGGGGAACTGAAACCCGGGTTGCACATCCTTTGCCCTTCGGGATCCAACGCGGACGCCATTGGCGCGTTCAAACTGGACAAACGGAGCGTCCTTTGGTCCTTCACAGGGAATCTCGCAGTGTCTGAGAGGGACAAGGAGTTCTTGTTTCACTTTTGTTTAATGCGCGCGACACGCAGACACGCACCGCCGGAGCCAAAAGACCGGGCGAAGTCATTGCGACCTCCTGACAGCACTTGCATCCACTTGAAGAGAACACCACACACACACAATTCAAGCCATGTTAGGTGTCTAGGACAGTAAGGCAGCCTATCAGTTTAAATCCGATGCGTTGTTGTAAGTACACGTATAAGGTACAGATGTAAATATATTGTGGCTTGAATCTGTACATTTGGAAGTATATACTAATGTGTTTGCGCATAAACATGCATAACTATTGCTAGCTAAGGTGTATTTCAGATTGTTAGGGTGCTGCTGCACCCTTGCACCCTGGTAACCTGATCAGTTGCTCTTGATTCATATCCCTTCGGAAGCTCAGTGCTCATGGAATCATGTTAACCAAGGATTCCCTGTTGTCATTGTCACCGGTTGCAAGGCGATGATGAATGCCCATTTGTCCGATTTGGCCGAAACAGTGTGGGCTGGCGGCTTGTTTGCTATCACAATCTTTGGGGATCGGGGTTTGCATGAACTGAAGGCGGCCAGGAGGGTCACTCGCTAGCCGTAGCACCTTCAGTCTGCGTCTGACGAACCGCGCGCGTCCGTACGTGAACCAAAACAGGTGTGGCAGCTGAGGTTGGGTGCTGTTAAATATATTTTGTGAGCATTCTACTCCAGAGCACGTATGCATGCCATATGATTTGTCAGAAGACCAAGTGTCCTCGGGCTGTGCCAGGATGGTTATTGCCTAAGAACGGAGTTCAAATACACTCCTGCCTCGATCCACAACCATCCACCATAGATGATCGAGCCATTTGCGTATTGCAGTCCCGCACAATATGACAACGCAGGCTCTTGCAAGCACATTGTCAATGTGCCTGCTTTCGTCGGTAGGGTTCCCTCGTGCTTCTTTGTATATTCCCCTTCATCATGTCTAGGGTCGGCTAGGCGGGTCCACCCGACTCCCTTTTGATATGGGTATGCATCCACATGAAGTAATTGCACTGCAAGACTTGTGGACACATTCGTGGCACACTGCTGAGTTTTCCAGTGTTTCTTCAGATCGATTGCACATGGCCATCATGCAAGTAGAGGCATACAGGGGCTGAAACGACCAATGTCACTCTTGAGCAAGGTCCCTTATTCGCGAAACCCACACCCGGTGCATCCGGTTGTTCGTAGTTGGTATCCATTGTCCATTGGAAGCCATCACGGAAAAAGCCTAGTGATACTCTTGGTTGCCAGCTATAGTGTCAACTGGATCCACTCGTCCACATGTCACGCCTTTGATCTCTTTGACGCTCTTTTACGCCAAGCGCAGCTTCTGGTGCCCCAACTTGAAATTTGTGCCCTTGCTGGATGTGTTTCGAGGGGTTTACTTACCTCTGGGATCAGAAAGTCGACAAGAACAGTCTTACTTTCTCGAGGCTCAACGGACACAGCTCAGACTTTAGCCTGTCCGTGCACTGTACCAGGCAAACAGCGGCACGGAACCGAAGACAACGGGGTTACTGTAACGGGTTACTGGAACAAGACACGAATTGTGGGGTTCCATATATTTCCCCGTTTGGGTGAGAAGCGAAATCTAGGGAGCCCCGAATAGTTGAAGCAGCTGAGTTGGCGGTTTCCACACGTTTCCGAGTGGCCGAGTGCCACAAACCCTTAGTTCTCCTAGTGGAATTCAGGGTGCTTCGCTTGCAACCCTGCAGCCTTGTTGATTGTCCAAGCTTGGTGTAATTCACAGTGTAGTTTGCACTTCAACCTTTACCGGAGTTGTTTTGGACAATTTCCAGGTTTTATCAAAGTCAGCTGGTGTGGTCTTCCTTTTGCCTCGTTCCATGGAACAACCAGGCCAGATCTTTGTGTTTTGCATGACCCAAGCTTCCGGGTCATTGTCGTTTTTGCTCACTGACGGAGTTCCTGTACGATGCTTTCTTGGGTAAAACCACATGTTAGGCGGTGACAAGACACTCTTCTCTTTTTCTTTTTTTCCTTGGGGGGTGTGGGGGCGGGAATCTGTGTTGCTCGTTTTTCTTTGGGGGGGGGGGAATCTGTTTTGATTGTTTTTCTTGGGAAATTCACTCAATGACTCAAGTGAGTGTGTGGGTTCAACAAACCTTTGCCGTTGGGCAATCCCAGAGGTGCCCTTGACCCCAGCGCAGCGCGCGGTGGTGGATTTGGTGCTGTCCGGCGACCCGTCGCGCCGGCTGGGTGAAGAATCAACCAGGGTGCTGGGGTCTGTCTTTCTTGAGGACCCCTCCAAACATGGTGGTTTCCTTGTGGTCTCCCTCTTGAAACCTACCAAAAAGAGTTACCCTCAAAAGAAGACACATCCAGTTTTGTGCGATCTTGGAAAGTGAGCCGTGTTTTCAATATCCTTCGGATGGGATCTCCAGGTTGAGGACTCGTGGGCGCACCTCCAAAGCTGTTCGCCCTCTGGTGGCATCTCTAAGCATTGCCAGACTCAGCGAAGCCTTCTTGCCATGAGGTTTGTCAATTTCCTTCAGCCAACAAGTTGCCTTTTAAGCAAAGGCGCCGAGTCTGGGAAACTTCACTACCTCCACATGGAACCCACCAGGTCCGTTGAGAAAAAATGGAAAGGACCAGTCGGTATCCGATTTATATAGGTGCAGTTTCTTTCGGGAGATGTTGACCTGGGACTTCATTGGGGCAAAGAAAGGTTTGGGAAGTCAACAGTTTAGTTCTGATCCACTCAAAAAAATGTCTGAACAATCAGGTCAGGGCTCGCAGAGACACAGACACACACACACACACACAGCAGTATGATTGAATGAATTCTGGCGGTTTCTTGGTTCTGCGTTCCCTCCTGGAGTTCTCTACTTGCAGAATCGGAATGTCCCGCATACTCAGCTCATACTTGCCATTTGTGGCTTAGTTGTGGGGTATAATATACTTGTTTGCAGCATGCAAGTGACAGCCCGCTTACAAAATTGGCTTCCTTCTCCTTTGGCACCGTACAGCAGGAAACACATGGATTCCATTCGTAGGAGAGGCTCTCTCGAGCAGATCTCTGCAGCACCAACCCTCATGGTTCAATCCGGTAGCTGGCGTGTTGGCGTTTAGGGAAACTCCACCTTTTTTGGGTTGGTTTCAAGGGAAACCACAGGGAAAACACAGAGACCAAAGAAAACCCTGGGGCCCTTGCCCAGCATTTGACTTCCAGTTTACCTTTCCAGTTTCGGTGCCGCTGAGGCATGGCCGAAACCTCTTTCTCACTGGCCCGAGGCTTAGATGGAAGGTGTGGTACTCGAGGTCAGGGTTCAGTGACCCTAGCCAGCGGCATATATATATATATATATGTGCGTTCCTTTTTTGGAAGCTGGAAGAAGCCAGGGGTGAAGGCCTGCAACATGCACGGCTATGCGAACGTGTTCTGCTCAGGCTGGTCAAATTGCTAAGGCCAACCCACTGCCACTGCCATGCACTTGGTGGGCTTTGGCTAGGAAGCCCGACTCTTTTGAATGGTACGGTGAATGAACCACATTTCATGCACCTTGAATGACAATGCTGATGATAGTTCAACACCAGATAGTTATTGTGTTGACTAGTGGTGACCATCATCGCTTTTGACATCGCCGTCATCATTGTCACCATCAATCGAGGTACTCTAACTGTAAGCGACAGTCAAATTTCACCACAACCAAACTGCTCCCAGCGAGGTAAATGTAGCTTCACAGGCCAAGGTCTTGGCTCGATGGCACCAGCAAAGAAAGATTGGCCTGTGGCCTTAGGATTGCTTACACTGCTTCTGTCCTGAGGACATGGCACGCTTGTCCAGTCTCATGTAATGATGCTGCAACAATTCAGCATTGGACGGCTGCCAAAAAAAACATATTAGGCAAGCACCATGCACCCCAACCACTTTAGAAAATGCCCCTGTCCCACAGGCTGAATTTGGAACATGGGTGCAAACCAACGTCAATCAACCAATATCAATCAACCAACCCTCACCCCATACCGTATACCCCATAACTACTGATTGTAAGCTATACACATCAAACAAGACATCACAATTTCCTCATTAGATTCCTATTTTGTTCGGCCAGGGGCTATGTGATTTAGAGGCTTCCTTTGATCTCCGTTCTTTCTTACTCCAGGGCGGCAGGCGTGAGGAAGCTGGGCAGCTGGGAAGAAACGACGTTCAGGCCTGGCCAAGCATGAAAGTGCAGGCCCAGAGCTACAGCCGGAAGGGCCAGGGCTAGGTGGACGCCCCACAAACTGAGGGGCTGGCTTGGATGTAGCAAAGGCCAAGGAGGCCGCTGGGGCAAGTGGGGGCAGACCTGCAGGTCATGGTCAAGGGCAGGGGCTTGGGGGTGGGGGCTCTCTTCGAACCAGCTGGAAGCAGGCGGCGGGCCGTGTTCAGAGGGATCCGACCGCTTCATGATCAAGTTTGCCTTTGCAGCCACAGCCATTGGCTTACTGATGGTCAAGCACGCACTGACTGAACGCGAGAACAAGTTGCACGGACAGGATGCCTTGCTGCGCGTGCTCCTCTGAGGATCTCAACACATCACTTAGGCGGTAGCGCAGATACGACAGTCTAGGAGGAGCGAGCATCCATCCCCCAATAGCAAGTATTGGCTCATAGCTCTCGTTCCGCCTGGCAGACGGACATCCCTCATCTAGCAACGCGCCAAGCTGTTGGCAGGGGAAAGCTTGACCAGCTTTGGCCGCCCTTAAAGGATGGGCTTCCCTATTCGACATCCGCCATTTTGGCACCCCGTTTGGCACCCCGTGTTGAAGAATCATAGCAGTTTTTAGTGATTTTCTTTTCACCGTGTTCAGGGCTTGAGGCAGGAAAAAAATATCTATGAGACAAACTGTTGTTCTCCATGTTCCGCGTGCGGCTGTAGGGGCTAGCTGCTGTGTTGGATCACAAACAATTGTATGCCTTGACCTTAGAACACTTTTTCAACGGTGTTCAAGAGCTGGGCATACCCCTTTGCCACCTTGTTGCGACTTGCTTTGACCACTGCCAGTGTTGTTTGGCCTTATTGGGGTCAGCACCTTCCAAGCCCCGTGGCAAGTGAGTCCGTGGGAAATGGAACAAATATCCCCAGCTGCTGGACGGACGGTCGGACGGTGCGGGTAAAGGTTCTTGCCAAATGTCCCACCGTACAGGGGCACCGAGTTGTCATTCCGCCCTTTTTCTGGAATATTGTTTGCACCGAGTCTTAAAGGAATCGGTCAGCTATAGTGGTTGGCTTCCCCTGTATATACCAACTCAAATGGGAGTCCACCATGAGAAACAGGGGGAATGTTCTTTCTTTGGGTTTGCCTTTTCTCGAGCCACGGATGCTCAATTTTGGCCCAGGTGCCGCTGGCTCTGGGCCGGCCCGGCGTGCCTTTTCGGTGAGTTTGTTGGCAGGTCAAGGGATGACTAGGTCAACATGCGAATTAGCACGGTTCTCTTTGTGCGGGTAGATCAGCATGCGCTGCAATTGTGTCATCCACTTTCAGCCAACTCTGGCTACAACTTGTCGTGGCCCCTTCGGAATGGCGACTGCGACGTTCATCGTGTTACCGTAGCTTCCTTTCGGTGGACATGTCCAGATGGCTTCAAATATGCTGAATGGAATTGCCATGAAGTGGCATTTCAAAGCTCTACCCCCATCAGCACTTGCCTCGAGCAGAGTCTTAACCTAAGTCTAGTTGCCTTCTCTGGGTTTGGAATCCACATTGATTCTCGCCGCTATTTGCATGGACACATGTCAACACTAGGCAGCTAGGCACCCTGTTGGAGTGCGTGTTTGTTTGGTCGGTGCAAGAAAGACCAAAAGAAATATTCATTCTTTAAAGCTTGACGAAACAACGATATCAGGAACCTCTCAACAATTGACGGCAACCCGGGTACAGTTTCATGTGCATCGGTGTCCTATGGAGCTGCTCCAAAATCCGAGGGCTTTTGAGGTGCGAGATCCGGAGGAGCATGCTTTACGTCCGATAGCTTTAAGCGTCCATGCATGCTCATTGCCCCGAAACGGATGTGTGTATTCCGTTGACGTGCGGGTCCGTTGGTTTTTGTTTTAATTTTTTCAGCTTGCTGTTGAAACAACAGTGCCTGACCACTGGTGCCGCGGATGCTCAAGGCCAAGGGTTGTGATTCGATTCTGTCTCTGGGAGGACTCAGCCAGATACCAAATTAGTTGTTTTGGCACCCTTCCTTGTTTTGTTCGCTTCTGGTCACTAGGCAGCTGCGGTTAGCTTCAATCTGTTGGGGTGATCCAACAGATCGTCTGAATTTAAACTACCGGGCCATGTTGTGAGTGAAACGCACCCGTGGGGCAGGACCTGCCCCCTCCATGGAGATATGACCAAGGAATGCGGGAGCGCCGCCACATGGTACATACTATGGTGAGCAGACTCATCCAGGTTCAGTCATCTGAATCAAGTTGTGCATGTTTGGTACTTGCAGGATTCTTTGGAGCCAGCGGTCAAACATCTTCAATCCAGTCGTTGGTCCAACCCCGGGGCCAAAGCTGTCGATCCGCCGAGCCAAAGATGCCGGAAGTGGTTTCGCAGCGATGGATCGAGGCGACAGTGGATGAGCCCCTTGAAGAATTTTACAGCGCGCTTCGCAGGGTTCCCTTAGCTGGCCTGCAAATTTAGAGCACTAAAAGC